CTGCATGCGTGCCACAGGTTCGCCACCACGGCTTTAGGGGATGTGGTGCTTCAGGTATGCCATTAATGGAAGCATGGAGTGTTCTGTATCTCTTTTCTGTTATTTACGGGTTGTCCTGATCCTTGCAGCTGAATTTTGGTAGCTCTACTTGGGGTACCCTTGAAATACAAATCACAGATAAGGTTAGGTTAAGACAAAGAGCTGTAGCCACAATCTAAACCCACTGTTTGTACTGTCTTGTTTAATTTGCCAATAGCACTACAGGTAATCCTTGACTTACAACCACAATTGGGTCCAAAATTTCTGTCGATGAGATACATTTTTAAGTGAGTTTTGCCTTGTCATAGTTGTTAAGTGAATTGCTGTAGTTAAGTTAGGAGCACAGTTGTTAAATGAATCTGGCTTCCCCATTGACTTCTCGTCAGAAGTTTGCAAAAACTGATCACTAGGACAGTGCAACTGTCACAAGTATGAGTCAGTTGCCAAGCATCTGGATTTTGATCACATGACCCTAGGGATGGTGCAATGGTCGTAAGTGTGAAAAACATTCATAAGTCGGTTTTTTCAGTGCCATTGTAACTTTGAATAGTCACTAAACAAATTATTGTAAGTCAATGACTATCTGTATGTGGCATTTGAAAGGAAATTTATAAGTGTATGATTATACAGCTATTAATATAATTAAACAATGAGGCAGTAGGTGACAGTGCCAGCGCTGCAACCACTACTACCTTTACCACATCTCCTTTTCTTTGAAAATGATAATTCGTGTTTCCAGAACAAGGACAACTCTCTGTTTTAGAAAGAAAATATTCTGCTTTGCAAATTGCAGAATGGCAACCTTAATAGTCACTGAGGTTCTAGTGGTAGTGGCCTACAAAGAGGAGAAGAAAGCAATTAGATAATGTGAGGAAATGGACAGTTTCACCTAGCCAAGCCACACAAATATGACTTAATATCAGGCAGTAAGAAAGGCCTGGCAAACTGCTGATTGACCAGGTTATGGAGCAAAAGTAAAATTTGTTTTTAATGAATTAGCATGTCATTTAATCATATTTATAGTAACCTGCCTCACATTTTTATATGGGTTTTGTTCACAAGAATAAGCTCTGGATAATCTTGGCATCAATAATCCCCCCCATGCCCTATATTTCTATCCAAATTATTGTTTTCATCAAAATGATGAAGTACAACATACTTATATACTTTTAATGGTTATATAAAAGAAGAAACGTTTAACATATGTGGATTATTATGTAAACTGTACCTGCTGAAATGTTCTGTACTTCGCAGCCAGTCAAGGTACAGCATCCAGCAGTTCTGTTTTCTTTACTCTAAAGTACAAGTGTTAGGTCCAGAGCATCAACCAAGAAAAATTTTAAGTAATTATCAGCCACTTAAGGTAATTATCAGCATTTGTTAGCCACTTTCAAGAAGGAGCTGACCAAAACATGTGTTAGTGTAATATTGTAAGTTTATTAGTTCTCCAACCAGAGGTTAGGGTTACTCTTCTAGAAATGACATAATTTTCATAAACAGCCATTGCAGCTAACCTTTCCAGGAACATTTAATAAATGAGTCAGTATGTGGATGAGTCATACTTACCAATTACCAGATGCCCTTGTTAGTGTTAAATAAAACATGAATTTTGCAACCCCCTCAGTAAGAAAAGTTGGAAAACCCCTGGAAATGGAAAGCCTTTGAATCCACAGTACTTGGACTTGGTTGGCTTGAGCCCAGGACTGTTCTTATCCATCTGAAGCCTAACAAGTTCCATTCACCAGAAAAGCCTTGACAGGATCACTTGATTGGTCAGGATGGGGATATGCAACTGGCATGTTGATGATGCCATGCTGACTGTGAAGAAATATACCCTTGGCCTTGGGAATGGTGCAGGAATGACTGAACCATTGTTTGTGTGTGTGCTTTTAGAAAAGATTACTAGATTTGAGAAAGAGGAAAGTGTTAGAAAGATCAAATAACACCACCTTGATTGTTTGATAGACAACGGGGCAGACAGAGATGACAGGCTTTCAAGATTCTGTTATTCTACCCTGCAACAATAAACAACATCTCTTCTGCTTCTGTTTTTTAACCTTACCTACCTTAAAGGGCTGATGCTGGCAGAGGAATCCCCTAATTTATTCAGAGGTCCCCAACCTTTTGGGCATCAGGGACCAGTTCCGTGGAGAAAGGAGAGTGCGTGGTTTTGTGTGCTGCCTGCATCCCACGGATGGGGCTTTGCTTGTTTGTGCAGACCGGTTGCTGGCATGTCGTGGCCCGGTACTGGTCCACGAACCAGGGATTGAGGATCCCTGCCTTAATGCATTTAGCAACCTCATGTAGATAATAAACTGGAACAAGAAAAACATCAAGCTTCGGGGAAATCTTCAGAACAAAATTGATTGATTTGTTTCCTCAAAGACCAGATCCAATCTTGGTTTCTGTCACCTGTCTTTGCAATTTCCACGGATCTTTTTCTATTATTTTTACCTTCACATTATGTGTCAAAAATTAATTCTTCCAATGAGCAGTCTGGTTTTACTTTGTCTACTATTGAATTTTTTCTATTCTTGTGATTCATTGTGTCTCTAGATTTTTTTTCCAGCACCATTATTCAAAGACACCATTTTAATTTATTCAGTCTTTCTGATGGTGCACTTATCATACATTGCAATTGGGAAAACCATAGCCTTAACAAGGCATACCTTTGTTGTCAGGTTGATGTTTTTGTACTTTAATACAAATTCTTTGGCCACCTAATGAGAAGGAAGGACTCACTGGAGAAGGTGCTGGGAAAGATTGAGGGCAATAGAAGAAGGGGACGACAGAGAATGAGATGGCTAGATGGAGTCACTGAAGCAGTAGGTGTGAACTTAAATGGACTCCAGAAGATGGTAGAGGACAGGAAGACCTGGAGGAACGTTGTCCATGGGGTCGTGATGGGTCGGACACGACTTCGCAATTAACAACAACAACAACAACAAATTCTTGCATAAAAGCATCTAGAGCTGTCTTAAGTGTGTGTGTGTAAGAGAGGGAGAATAAATATTATTAAATCTCTCCTTTGAGTAAATTCAAACTTAGGGCTTTCAGAAAGGTTACCATAATACCAAAATGAGGTCACTACACAAATGACATTAATTAATTAATTTAATCTTAACTTTAATGTACATGTAACTTCTTCCTTTGGGCTACTTCTGTCCAAAGGAAATGTGGACAATCACGACTAATAAGAGTCACACTGAGTTTTTACTGTACTTGCAGTTCTTAACTTACTTGTCACATAATTGATTCTGCTGGTTATAGAGATCAACTAGAGTCTTTTCTCTGTTTTGTCCCTGTGCAGCAGATTCAGTCTTAAGATTTTTAGCACTGTTTTTCAGTTGTGTTAGTGGTATCAAATTTTATTATAACAAGTCATGGTTTGCTTGATCACAGCATATTAAATCATAGTACACTGGATTTACACATTTTAGACAAATGAAGGAAGCCAATATTGGGTTTCCACAAAACTCTGTACTGCATATTAGCCAAAAGAATTTAAGCTACTATCATAGTGATGGTGAACCTTTTAGAGACCGAGTGCCCAAACTGCAACCCAAAACCCACTTATCGCCAGGTGCCAGGTGGGCGTGGCCCACTAGGTGGGCGTGGCTGTGGTGGTCATGGCAGAATGGTTGGGTGTGGCCAAGGTGGGCATGGTCATCTCAATCTTGCTTGTGACAGTGAAGCGTGTACGGGGTGGGCAAGTTTTGGGAAAATCCAGGGGGTCTCTGGTAGGTGGGCGATAGGCAGGAGGCTCATCCTGCGGGCTGAGGCACGGCAGGGCGGGGGTGCCATTGCCATGGGGCAAGGTAAGGGGAGGCTGCTACCTGACACCATCAGCCCCCGCACATACAGGCCAGCGAGCACATAGGGGCCGACGGTGTCCGTCAGCAGCCACAGCCTGCTGTCCCCTCAACCGGTGCACTTTGGGGCTCTGCAGTCTGCCACCAGCAGTTCAAAGAAGCCGCCTCTGACATGGATGGCTGGCCAACAGCTGAGGAGGCGATGCAGTGGACCAGCCGTGCCGGGATGCATCCAGCCACGTGGGACCTCAGCGAGTTAGCGGGCGGCTGGTTGAAGAGGGACGGTTGCCATCTCCGGGGCATGGCACGCGTGCCCACAGAGAGGGTTCTGAGTGCCGCCTCTGGCACGCGTGCCATAGGTTCGCCACCACTGTACTATCATATGTAAATCTGTCCAGTGTACTTAATTTATAGTTCGGTTTGTCATATGAATCAAGACCAATGGATAATTAAATAAATTATGGGTAAACATGTTGAATTTTAGATTTCATTCTGTTTTTAGGAATACATGATTTTAGAAATTAGTAAAGACATTAAATACATATGTTGGCACTCTTATAGTGTTATTTCCTAACAAATTTTATAGTACAATGATTGTACAACAGTTTATTTTTCTCTCTGCTAAAATTGAATTTTAAGGCTTACCATCAAAGTTCTTAGATTACTATTTACATATTTATGTACAAATTAATAGCCAGGACACCTGCTGCAAGTATAAAAAAAATCCTACCTAACTTGCATTTAAACTTCACCAGCATTGTTAAATGTCCTTACAGAAGAGAAGGGTTTGGAAGGTGGGGGGGTAATATCAGAGATTATATCGGTAAACCTTAGTTTCCCAGCTCGCAGCACACACACACACACACGCGCACGTACACACACGCGCACGTACACACACGCACACAAAGAGAATGGGGTTCACTTATTTATTTATTGCATTGGGAGCCAGGGAGTTATTCGTCATATCTATGCGGTTCATGGAAGTCCACAAGGCGTACAAGCAGTGGACCAGAGATCAGAGTTGTCCTCGCCCCCGAAATAGGCCCTGACAAGCGCACCGGCACCGGGAAAGCAACGTTGCCCGGCGGGGCGGCGTTGGGACTCAAGGGCAGCCACGACCTCGGTAGGGAGCTTCCGCTTTCGGGGCTGCGCGAGGAGCTGTCAGTCAGGGAAGAGCCCCATCCCAGGGTGATGTCAGCGGATCAGCTGCTCTATAACAAAGCGCGGAGAAGCCAGCGTGCGAGTGGCCCAGGCCCTCGGGCAAAGCGAGCTTCGAGGGGAGAGCGGGTGAACCGGGCGGGTCTCCTCAGGCTGGACGAGGCGGAAGCGTGACTGGCTCCAGGGCACACCTACCCAAAGCAAGGCGCTGCGGCCGAGCAGGCGGACTAATTTGCGCTCGGCGGGCTGAGCTATGGATAGTGACGAGGAGACGCTGGAAGAGACCGTCGAGGGTAAATGCGTCGCCAGGGCATAAGCCAGGGAGGGAGGAGTTAGGCGAATCGCTCGCGGGCGCCGGGTTGGGGGAAGTTCGCAGCCCGAGGCGGGGACAGCCTGAGAGTTTTTCTGGCCCCAAAGCTCTGCGCATCTCCACGTGGCGAAAATGGAAGAGCTTCTCCTCCGCTGGGAATTGCGGGAGTAAGCGTTGGGGCCTGTTCTTTACGCCTTGTAGCTTTCCGGGAGGGAGCGGGGTCCCCCGTTGGGGTGCGCTTTGACGGGCAAAAAAGCACACCGAAAGTTTTCCTTCTTGTGGGAGTCGGTATCTAAAAGTTGATTTGGGGCGCGTGGCACAGCCTGGACTACACTTCGGGGAAAAGTCGCTTGGGGGTGAAGAACAACCTTCTCCTCTTCAATAAACCTCAAAGGGATCGCTGCTTCCGTCCGCAGGGACGATCGCGCTCCAGAGTTACTGCAAGCTTTTGTCTTTGTTTTCCCGGGCAGAAGCCTGGCGTGGATGGGAGTGTAGAAATGTTTCCGTGCGCTTAAGGCGTGCTTCGCAGAGTTAGCCTGAAATCTGCTCGCTGGAAGTTCCGCTACCATCTGGCACTTTCCGCTCCAGATTAATAAATTCGGCAGTTAAGAGACCAAAAAGGTCTTAGACTCTCCGACGGGTTTTAAAAACATATTGTTTGCACCTTTGTGCCTTAGTTTCTCTCTGCACTGCCCTTAAGAGGTTCAGAATAATCGTATTGTCAAAAATGTTTTCAGGGACCATGAAGTCTGTGAGAAAAACTTCTCATAATTACTTCTCCAAATAACATTTCGTTATTGCTTGAATAAATTGGAAAATTCTTGTGGCTAAAATGTGACTAAAACTGCAAATCTACTGAACTGCTTTAATTTCCTGCATTATTGTTGTTTGGAGATACAGCATTGAACTCCACGCCCCACAAACTTTTCTCCAGCAATTTTTAATGTGAATGTATATTTCTGATGAAAAATATTAAAATGTATAGTATTTGGAGATGTTAAAGTGAAGATTTGGTCTTAAAAAAATTCCTAAGGTACTGGAATTTGTTACTACTGGAAGTTTCTAGCAAGATTTTTAGAAGTGGCACATGTCAAATTGATTAATTCTGATCTGTAGAATAATAACTACATTACAATCCTGGAACCATATAATTTGGAAACAATAATTGTATTGTCAATGGCAGGTTCTGCTTTTTGAACTAATATAAATTATGTTTAATTGCGGACTTAATATTTATAGTGACTATATTTAAAACATGAAATGTATTTTAAGTAAATTCATTAAATATGGAATTCTATTCCTAGCTGCATACAATTTAAGGGTTTGTGAGCATCATTGTGGACTGGATTTTTTTATGTGTTGACTTAGATTACGGGTATCAAACTGGATCATGTCATGTGACATATTGTGATGGGTTTTTGCCTTTGCGGAGCTGGGGTGGGTGTGGCCTGCGTGTGATGCATCCGGCCCAGAGGCCACCAGTTTGACACCCCTAACTTAGATCCACAATAGTACTAAACATTTTTTCCTTCAAGGCAAGGAAAAGTTAAATCTAATTGAGTACAATATTCTAATGTGGGACTACACTTTAAAATCAGTTAGGTTCATCTGTGTGTAATCTGTAAAAAAATGGCACATAAATTGAAGAGAAAAAAACAAACTAGACATCGCTAGAAGAAATATTTTACTAATTCTGTGTAACTGAAAACTTGATCTAAACTTTGATTCTCACTATGATTCATTAGGACACATCACTGTTTACTGTATTCAATCATCTATGAACACACTCTAGCTTATATTAGGTAAGTAATTATAAGTGCTATAAGTATACTATAATTAGTAAGTATATGGTAACATATAATGCAGTTATCAGCAGTTTTAATAAATAACGTCACGTCAAATCCATATGTTATGAAATCATAAACCTACTAGTATTGATGCATTTTTTAATTCCATCAGGAATTGCCAACCTTAAAGTTAATAATTAGCCTAAATATGGCCCAAACAGTTTTTTTTAAGTTTCCAGGATTTTTTTAAATCCACACCTTAAATGGAAGAAAAAAGAATTGTTAAAGCCATAGCCTGTTTTTTGAAATCCATACATATATTTTTACAATCCTCCAGCAAGCAATGAAGAAATAAATTTAGTGAGCAAGCCCTATTTTCAGCCTTTTTGGATAAAATGATAATAAAAATGAAAACACCTATGTGCAGAATATTTATTTATAGTCTGCAACTGAGCAGAGACCCTTCCAATGACTTCAGGCATGTACTTCCTTCAGGAGGAGGTATGTTATGTGTCTGGGCATGTCCAGCACAAGTACTTGATGTGCATAAAGTATGTCTTACAAGATGAGATTGTTACATGACTGGATGTGGAGAGAGCATATTCTGCAAGATTATACGCTTGTAGTAAAGGGAACATAGATGCCGTGTCCTAACATGTCAGCACAGAAGTAGCAGCCTTTATCAGGCACCCTGGAAGCAGATTTATTTAATATAAAATTAAATCTCCAAAATTAAAGGCTAGGAGGAGAAACTCTGTACTCTTAAATCATAAAAGCTTTTTTGATAATGTACAGAATGGAGTTATATTGCCTTTTCCCTTTAGATTCTGCAATACAGCAAATCTTAAGTATAAAGATTAAGAAAAATGATGCTTCAGGACAGTTTTGAATCCAATGGCCTAATTTTATTTTGTATTATTTTTAGAAATGAAGTGCTCAAGATATTAGCATGACAGATTCTAAAAGTCTGTATCATAAAAATCAATTGTTCTTTAATGAGTTGTCTGTTTGACTAAGAAAACAAGTTTATGGCTTTATTAAAACAAGACTCATAAAATGTTTTTGTTGTAGACTTTTCAATCCTGAAGCTCTTTGGATTATCATAAATATTTTCAGAAAACTGGATAAATTTTATTTCATGTAGGATACTTTTGTTAAGATGGGAACTTTCATATATGAGTAGAACATTGCTCTTCATTTAGTAATATCCAGTATTGGGGCTGAATTGACTGTCTGAAAAGGTCAGTATGTCAGACTTGCTCCTGATAACAAGATATTGGCATTTCTCCATTGAATTTTATGATAAAATAGATCTACGTACAAATCAAAATCTGTCCTTGTATGTCTAGATCTGTAGAGAATGGAATAAAATAAAACCTATGACTCCATACAAATTTGGTACAGTATGCATTAAATTTGCTGCAACATTCCTGCTGTCAAAATGATGTCCTGTATAAATTTGGGATATAATGAAATAAACTCTGAATTGTGTTGACTCATCTGGTTTGGTCATATTTATTTATCTCACTGTGTCATGCTTCAAAATGTTTTCACTTGTCTACTTCATATATCAAAAATGTGCAGGTTTATTCATGGGATACAGACTTGTTGGGAACATGCAGATATAAAATAACGAAGTTTTCAAATATATCACCCATGGTTTATTGGGAGTGTGTCTGAGTTATTTCATTTGCTTGGCATAAGAGTCATTTTACATCAATGAACTAGGTCAGTAGCACTTGTCTGATAGCTACATTTCTACATGCATAGATTTCCTTAATAGAATGCAATCTCTCCCATAATACCAATTTTGCAGAATGCTGGTCATTTGGCCCTTATGCTATTATTTCATTCTTCGCTCAGAACTTATATCAGATTCTGAAACAGGACAGAGATGTATTTATCAGTGTCTTAAATAATAATTTAAGTGGATAAATACTATATTTCTACTGAATTTATAAATACTCAAGTAGTATAAGGGCAATGTGCTAGAGGAATTTGAGTTAGTTGGGCTGGATAAAATCATGTCCAATGCTGTTTCTTGTAAGAACAGATTGCTTGTGTGAGTCCCACTGGTTTTCAAAATAGTTTTTTATTGTTATTTTTTAGGAACACTTGATGATGACGATATGCCCCATGGGTTTTGTATAGTCACATATTCTTCCACAGACAGATTTGAAGGGAACTTTGTGCATGGAGAAAAGAATGGTCATGGAAAATTCTTCTTCTTTGATGGAAGGTAGACATCACAGTGTTTATGAGTTCTTTTACTGGATTCTGAATTCATATTTAGCCATAGTGTTTTAGACACAAATATATGATGTACCAAAATTAGTGGGTAGGCATAACATATTGAACTAGTACCTATGATTTCTAAACCACAGTGTTTGGAAACATAAAACATGTTGATCTATGAAATAAATAAATCAACAGTATGATTTAGGATGTTATAGATAGTCCTTGACTTACAACCATTCATTTAGTGACTGTTCAACATTACAACAGCGCTGAAAAATCTGTACAAAGTACAACAGGTACTTACAACCATTGCAACATCTGGATGGTCAGATGATGACATTCAAGGCGATTGGTATATATTTATGAGGGTTGCATCATCCCATTTGCAACCTGTCCGACCAGCTTCCAACAAGCGAAGTCAATGAGTGAAGCCAAATTTGCTTAATGATCCTGTGATTCACTTAACTGCAGTGATTCACTTAACAATCATAAAAAATTGGGCATAAAATTGGGCATAACTCACTTAACAATTGCTTTGCTTAACATTGAAAATTCTGGTCCAAATTGTGGTCTTGAATCAAGAACTACCTGACTATTTATTTGCTGGGTTTATTTTTAAAAAAATACAATCAAGTTACAATGACATGTTACAAGCTCCATTGGCTTTATACTGTTATTTATTTATTTATTTTAAATATTAATGTTCTTTTAAAAAATTATAGGATAATACTTTATAATGGTGGGATAATCATTGATAAAGTGAAGTAACAAATTACTTGTGCTGTAGAACTTATGATTGGTCCTGCATTCTTTGACTTCTGTTCTATATTATATGGAACAAAAATAATTAAGTTCTTACCAAAAATAAGTTATAAATAGTAGACATGTTCTTGATCTTCTCTAAGTTCTTTAGTTCATGTTCTTTTCTGTGAAGTCATTTCGATGCCTTTATAGTGTGTATACAATTTGAAGCCACAAATATCATTGTCTCTTTAAGCTCCTTAACCCAAAGTGTGAAAATGGAACTAGAACTCAGTCACTTTCCTCTTTGCCACAACTTTGCAATAATTGACTATTTCTTTAAATGGAAAAGAGCAATAGCTATATCATAAGGTTACAATGTATAAGACATATTACAAAGTATCACTCTTCACTATATAAAGTTTATCAAAAAAACAAGGCAGGTTTTTAAAAACCTTCTTTAAATAAACTAAAGCTGTGATTTACATCACAAAAAAAAACAGAAATAAATTGATCATAAAAAAATGTTGGACAGGAATAGTCTGTCCGATAGGACAGGTTTTCAAATTATACTGAAAGGAAGCCAAAGAAGAAAGAAAAAAAAAAACTCTAAAGGAGTAATATCGCAGAACTGTGGTACAAGCACTAAGTAGTCCATCTTTCTTGAGATCACTCACTTTATTACCCATCTCAAGTACAAACAGCAAGGTCTTTAAAGCAAATATGAAGAACTTCTGTTTAAAAGGAGGACACATTTAGTAAACAGATCTTAAACAAATTAGGAAGGGTCTTAATTTTTTTCTCTGTAAAAGTGATAAAATAACAATCATTTCTACACTATCCTTTTTTTCTTTGCTAGCACTCTAGAAGGCTTTTATGTTGATGATAGTCTGCAAGGCCAGGGAATATACACCTATGAGGATGGAGGCACACTTCATGGGACTTACATTGATGGTGAACTGAATGGGCCAGCTCAGGAATATGATGCTGATGGACGATTGGTCTTCAAAGGGCAATACAAAGATAATATTCGGCATGGATTTGGTTGGATTTACTATTCAGTAAGTTGGATTATTTTCTCATATATTTCAGCATGTAACATTAACAGTTATACCAAGGAATCTGCAGGGTTCAAGGGAGAGCTTCACATCAACACAGTGCAGGCTTCATCTCTTTAGTACATATATGTGATGTAAAATGCATTACAAAAGTGGCAGAAATTGTTACACAGCAATACAGTGCTGTTTTAGTTATTTTGTTCACTTCTTCACAGCTAAATGGAGATAGCTTGTTACAGTTTGGATGCAAATGAATATCTTATTTTATTGCAGTTGTGTACAGTATTGCCAAATCTGGACTGACTAATGGAAGTTTACAGCATAATATAAATTGTACAAGTATACATGTATACTATAAGTATATAAATAAAACAAGAAAGAAGATCAAAAAATAAGAAAAATAAATGAGCATAGTTGAATACAGTTGTTCATAGCAATACAAAGTTTAAATGCAGAAAAGTTCCACCTTAGCCACTTTATAGAGTGGCTCCAGGTTGTGTTGCAAGTAACACAACATAAACTGTTTGTTGCCATGTGTCAATTTTGTGCACATGAACAAATGCATGAACTATCTGGTGTGGCTTGGATAAAGGTTTTAATAAATACTTTTGAGACAATCTTAATCAATTTTGATATAGAATAATTACAGCAGAATTGCTGTTGTTTTCATGAATGAATGAATGGCTCTATTCCCTCCACTGGTAACAAAATGTTCTCAGTTATGTAACTTGAAGAACAAAGCATGCTATTGGATTCCTATAGATAGCATACTTTTCCTGTCTTCTCTCAAAATAGATTTGAAGGCAATGTTAAGCTATGGAAGAAGACTGAATAATAGCCCTTTGCACTCAGTTCTGAATTGTCCCTAGGAAAGTAAGAAAAAATATATCTTGCTTTGCAGCCATAACTAGCAAAGAACCATATTACTAAAGTATTTTATATGCAATATTCTCCACTATGAAGAATGCAAATGAATATCTTATTTTATTGCAGTTGTATACAGTATTGCCAAATCTGGACTGACTAATGGAAGTTTACAGCATAATATAAATTGTACAAGTATACATGTATACTATAAGTATATAAATAAAACAAGAAAGAAGATCAAAAAATTAAGAAAAATAAATGAGCATAGTTGAATACAGTTGTTCATAGCAATACAAAGTTTAAATGCAGAAAAGCAGGCATGTCAAACTGTCGGCATGTCAAACTGCCGGCCCACGGGCCAGATGCATCATGGCAAAACATCACCCACGCCAATGTTGGCAATGGGGGAAAAGTCATGATATGTCGCATAATGTCACATGACATCGTGAGTTTGACATGCCTGCTTTAAATCTAGTGAGAACTATAGTTCTTCAATTTACTTGTCAACACGGGAATAGCAGTTGCATGATATCTGAAGATTGCCAACTTGGAAAAAGCTGAATGAATGTTTATTTATTTATTTATGAGACTTATATACCGCTTTAAGTGCAAGCACTCTCTAAGCGGTGTACACCAGTAAGCAATGTATATTTACATTGCCCCCAACAATCTGGGTCCTCATTTTACCTACCCCGGAAGGATGGAAGGCTGAGTCAACCTTGAGCCGGTGAGATTTGAACCGCTGACATGCTGAACACAGTCAGCTAAAGTGGCCTGCAGTACTGCACTCTAACTGCTGCGCCACCTCGGCTCCTCATGTTTGGCAAAATTAATGAACTCAAATGCAGCATGATAATCCTTTCTCCAAGTTATGCTAGCTGAGAAGCACAGGATGAAGCACATAACATTTTTGCCTATGGAAAGAACTTTCTGTCTTCTGAAAGTTGACAGAACTATTTTTTAATACTTTATTGAAAGATTTTAAAATTACGAGCTATCAAAACTTTCTTTTGAAAACCCAAATAAACCCACCAGCAGAATTGTTCTGTTGGTTAAGATATATTGAGCTCAAAATAGAGAATAAAGAAAGATAGAGAAAAACTGGGAAAAGGGAAGAGCTGAGTTACATTGCATTCAAATGACAAAATTGCTAATAAAGGCTAGTCATAGAGTTAGATCTGTTCTAATTGACAACATATGAAATCCAATGAGAGCAAAAATATAGTCCTTTGTATTTTAACCCACCCTTTCAGTCATAATCTCCCTGAAATTTGGATACAGCGTATTTTCCAAACTCAGTGGTGACTTAGCTTTGTTAGAATGTGTTAGGGTTGAGCTGTTGGTTTGGAAGCAGAACACAGTAAAAATGATTATTTTGTAATTTATTTTGTAAATGGAACCTGTCACTCAAATAATTTTCCATTACAGGTAGACAGTTTGTGAATACCTTGTGAGAGGGCTTTCTTTTTCCTTAGATTCTACCGTTTAAATTTTAAATGTATACAGTATGCTTTTAAATAAATACCTTCATCTTTACAGACCCAGCATTTAACATTAATAGGACTGAAATAGTGAGTGGAGAGGTGCAAAAGTCAGAGTAAATGAAATAATAGGAAATGAAAGAATAAAGTTCTAACTGGCACTTTTATTGTCCAGATCAGAATTTTTCACACTTTGTTCCCTGGAAGTCTAAGATTCTGTGAGAGGACAATTTTTAAAAAATCAGTCAAACAAAGTCAGTTGTCTAACCCCAGAGTTTTGCCTTTCCATCAGGGTACTGGGAATTTAATTTAACTTTTTAACTTTTGGTTGAAAAAGTTTGAGAACCCCTCATCTCAATATTGAGACTAAAGATTTTGGTTAATAATAATCTTAATTAAATTAAAAAAAAATAGCACACAACATTTTCCCTTAATTTTTGGAAATGCTTTTGCTGTTCGTTTTCAGGATGGTGGGTTTCTGGCTGGAGAAGTTAATGAAGAAGGAGAGATGACTGGAGAAAAGCTGGCCTATGTGTACCCTGATGGAAAGACGGCATATTATGGACACTTCATAGATGGTGAAATGATAGAAGCAAGACTGGCAAAGGTTATACTGGCAGAGGAAGAAAAACTACAATTTGATATTGTGCCAGGCAGTAAGTTGTCACTAATGTACTATATTATATCTCATAATGTGTGAATGTCTAGGACCTCTTAAAGATTTGACTACTTTATTAAAGTACTGTATTTACAATATATATTGCCTTTAGGGCCAAATTCTTCCAATAGCTAATTCTATGTGTTTTACCAAATAATGTAGCAATGTGAACCTATATTTGATGTTAATAGTTAGGTTGGCTTTTTATATTTTGAATACAGATCTCCATTTACAACAGCTGAATATACAAAGGAAAAAAAAGATTCTTAGAACCATATATAATTACTGTTCCTCTGTGTTTCTTTTTTCAGTCAAGTGGATGAATTTAATTTTACATGGACAGCAGACAAAATAAATATAAATATTGTAATCTATAGTCTCATTTCAGGTCAAGAAATACAACAGTATTTGTCACCCCTTTTTAATTTCCAGTTGCTCTTCTAAACTTTGTCTATTTTCTGAGGCCTACCAAGCACTGTGTCGACTTCCTATCTAGCAGCCCTTTCTTGAGCCCTTTCTGAGAGTACTGTTGTTGAATTACAAATTATAAACTCCTTTGCTCTAATTCTGTCTGTCTAGTGCATAGTAGCTGGAAGCAACAGAGCAAAAAATAATGGAAAAAAAGAGAAAAATCTTGTGCTTTTAGAGGCAGTGAATATTGCTACTATCAAGGGGTTACTTTAAGTCAGTTTATAATAATAATAATAACGTTGGAAGGGACTTTGGAGGTCATCTAGTCCAACCCCCTGCTCAGGCAGGAAACTCTATGGCACAGTAATGGCGAACCTTTTAGAGACCGAGTGCCCAAACTGCAACCCAAAACCACTTATGCATCGTTGGATGTCGGGTGGGTGTGGCCCATTGGCTGGGTGTGGCCCATTGGCTGGGCGTGCCCATTGGCTGGGCGTGGCTGTGGTGGTAACGGCAGACTGGGTGGGACTAAAAAGTTCAATCAATTCCAACTTTGCAAGAAGAGAAGTTGAAATTGACTGATTGATTGAACCTTTTTTTTTTTTTTTTTTGCACATGGCAGTGGAGGCCTAAAGCGAAAAGGTTTTATAAAACCCAGCTGAAGGCCTAGGACTGGGGCAATGGAACGTATGCCCACAGAGAGGGCTCTGAGTGCCGCCTCTGGCACCTGTGCCATAGGTTCGCCACCACTGCTATAGCATTTCAGACAAATGGCCGTCCAGTCTTTTCTTAAAAATTTCCAGTGTTGGAGCATTCACAGCTTCTGGAGGCAGGTTGTTTAATTGTTCTAACTGTCAGAAAATTTCTCCTTAGTTCTAGGTTGCTTCTCTCTTTGGTTAGTTTCCATCCATTGCTTCTTGTCTTGCCTTCAGGTGCTTTGGAGAATAGCTTGATTCCCTCTTCTTTGTGGCAGCCCCTGAGAAACTGGAACACTGCTATCATGTCCCCCCTCGTCCTTCTCTTCATTAAACTAGACCAGTGTTTCTCAACTTGACGGTTTGAAGATGGGTGGACTTCAACTCCCAGAATTCCCCAGCCAGCATGGCTGGTTGAAGAATTCTGGGAGTTGAAGTCCACTCATCTTCAAGCCGTCAAGGTTGAGAAACACTGAACTAGACATACTCAATTCCAGCAGCCATTGTTTATATGCTTTAGCCTCCAGTCCCCTCATCATCTTTGTTGCTCTTCTCTGTACTCTTTCTAGAGTCTCAACATCTTTTTTACATCATGGTGACCGAAACTGGATGCAGTATTCCAAGTGTGGCCTTACCAAGGCATTGTAGAGTGGTATTAACACTTCATGTGATCTTGATTCTATCCCTCTGTTAATGCAGCCTAGCACTGTGTTAGCTTTTTTGGCAGCTGCAGCACACTGCCAGCTCACATTTAAATGATTGTCCACTAGGACTCCCAGATCCCTCTCACAGTTGCTACTATTGAGCAAGGTATCACCTATATACTATACCTGTGCATTTGGTTTTTCTTGCCTAAATGTAGAACCTTACTTTTTTCACCACTGAATTTCATTTTGTTAGATAGTACCCATTGTTTATGCCTCATCCAAAGCTATTTGATGTTTTTTTTTCAAGGAGCCAGTTATATAACAGGCTAAAATAGTGAGATGGTGGCATATATATTTAATAAATAAAAACATGAAGAAACATAATTTGTTTTTTGAAAAGAATTAGATGTAATATGGTGGCTGCTGCTTACTCCTTTGGAACAAAATTTAGATTATGATTTACTGTATACTTTGACAGTAGGTATATTGCAACTCTCTAAAGTGATGGCATTCAGGAACAGATCCATTTTTAGAATTGGGTTACCAAGGAAAATATTTCCTAATCAATTTTAGACACTTAATATTTTTAGCCGTTTGTATAATGTGTAATTTTTAAGTTTTTAAGAGGCATGCAAAAATACTATTTAAGATTAAAGCACACTTAAAAAGTGATCCATTTGTATACCTAGCATATGCAAATAGACCTCATTCAGAACTGATTTGCAATTAGTCAAGAAGCATTATTTTGGGGTGAAGCTAAACTCCTATAGAACTACTTAAAGTTGGGAAGAAAATCGAAATGTATGTACAAAATTCTGTATTAATTGATCGTAAAATAGCGGTGTTTTTTAAAATATTAAATTTGCTTAACACACTGGGTACATTTTTATTTTACATATTATTTTCTGTACTGATTTATTATAGGCCCAGTTTACAGTTTTGATAAATCTACTTCATCCTGCATTTCTACAAGTCCACTTCTTCCTGACTGTTATGAATCAGAGAGGTAGAATGTTTTGTTATAGTTTTGTCTTTCCGTGCAAATAGTTACAAATAATATTTCACTAGATTACACACAACTATACTGTCCATTTACTTCATTTCCAAGCCCAAATTTTAATCCTTTATGACAACAATGAGATTACCACATTTGATATTAGTCTAGTCATATCCTTTTCAAACTGTGCATTGAGCCACACAAGGCTACCCCAGTGAATTCACAATAGTGCTACGGGATCATAAACTCCTAGCTGGAAGTAGTTCACAGTTTTGCATAGGAGCACCATGAAAAAATTACCAAGATACTCAGAATGTTATAAACTGAGAAACTGGGAATCTCTGGTCTAGTCTGTTGTTCCACAAGCTGGTTTTGGCTCCAGTCTGTCTACTGCTTTGAGTATATTGTCTTTGTGTGTGTGTATGCATATACACACACACATACACAGGTGAATTAAAATCAGGATGGCAGTCATGAACACACAATCAAGCCTGGTCTCTTTTTACATGTATGCAACACATATTAAAATGGGTGGAACTTTGATCTTACAGTCATAATTATCATTTGTTTTTCTGATTACCCCCACAGAGTTCCCTTACAGCATAAATTCATATGATTATACTCAGAAATATGTGTTGTATATTAAACAGGACTAATTCCAAGGCTGATTTCAAAGGATTGCAATTGTGAATAACATAAAAAAGGTTATTTACAATTTATTTTTTGAAATAAATTGTATATTGGGACTCATTTTTAATTATCCACAGATATTCAGAATTTAAGATAATATGAAATGTGTAATTTTAATCTTTCTAAAACATAATACGAATGCCTAGCCTTTTCCCTTAAAAGACTTTAAACTATTTGTTTCTTTTGACATATTCCAAACTTAACACTTAGCAATATGAGCTTCGCTTCTAGATTCTCATGTACGCTCTAATAAGATCTGTCCTAGAAACCTTAATGCACATGTATGAAGTTGTAGATCAGATACTATTTTTATTCATTGCTTTAATTTAGGGTCTATGTTGATGCGTCTCTTATTTCCAATGCTGGAGAAGGTTTATTTACTAAAATAGCTGCTGAAGCTGGCACAGTTTTATCTTTTTACAATGGCATACGAATTACACATCAAGAGGTAAAATACAAAGAAATCTTTTCACTGCTTCTGAAACAATTTCCACATTGCTTATTAATATTTCAGTAGTATTTTCATGGTAGCAATGTTTCATTAAATAGAAAGATGGAGTGTAGGTTTATGCTGTTTGTATTAATAACTGTTGTGCTAATTCACATCTGTTATTTCAGATGTATAAAGATCTCCTAGTAGCTATACAGGTATCTTTGACTTACAACTACAACTGAGCCCAAAATTTATGGTGTTAAATAAGACATTTGTTAAGCGAGTTTAGCCCCGTTTTATGACTTTTCTTGTCACATTTCTTAACTGAATCACTGCAGTTGTTAAGTGAATCTGGTTTCCCCTCTGACTTTGTTTGTCAGAAGGTTACAAAAGATGATCACATCACCCCATAACACTACAACCGTCATAAATGTGAGTCAGTTGTCAAGCATCCAAACATAAATCATGTAACCATGGGGATGATACCCTGCTCATACATGTGAAAAATGGTCCTAGGTCACTTTTTTCAGTGCCATTTTAACTTCAAACAGTCACTAAAGGAACTGTTGTAAGTCGAGGACTACCTGTACTGCATTTATCCTTGGCAATAATAAATGCCATATCCTTCTTCATTTTGTAATATAATTTTGTTAAATACTAAGAGTAAATTTGTATGTTCTCTAGTGACGAAAAATTTACGCTAGAGTGTTTTTTGAGAGAGAAAGAGATAGATTGAGTCAACACTGAGTTGAGAGCGCGCGTGCACACATGCGCGCATGCAGAAAGTCAGCTTTTGTGTAAAATTAATGAAGGAGAAATGTGAAAAATGTGTACCCAGGGTTGCAAGTATAAAACTTTTCTTGAATAGTTATATTGGAGTGGAATATCCTTTCCTCTCTCTTAGCTCTTACCTTATATGGCACATTTGCCAAACAGTTTATATATCTGGTTCTTTCTAACTCAAAAAAAAAAAAAATGCATGTGAATTTTGAACTTGATAAAAATAAATATTTGTCATAGCAGTATTGTTTTCAATGCCAGGTGGACAGCAGGGACTGGTCTTTGAATGGAAATACAATATCCCTTGATGATGAAACAGTCATAGATGTACCGGAACCTTACAGCCATGTAACCAAATACTGTGCCTCTTTGGGGCACAAGGCAAACCATTCATTCACTCCAAATTCTGTTTATGACTCGTAAGTATTTAACTTCTGCTTGTGACTTGAACTATTACAATTATACACAGTAATGCACTGATTTTGTGACTGTATGTGTGTGCATGTGTACGTGTAAGGACAAACACTAAATCATATATATGACAAATTGCCTTAGTTAAAAATGGAAATAAGGAAAACATTTCTGGAAAAAAAGTGCCAGCTTGATAGAATAGACACCTTTAAATGAAACAAGCATTAATCCTGGCCCCCTATGTGTAACGTCATTATTATTTTTATATGGTTGATATCTCAAAAAATATTATGGGTATTCTAGCATTGCAAATGTGTTGTTATATAGCACAACACACGAAGAGATTTATGCTAAACTCAAATAAGTTAATTGCACTTGATTGGGTTCCAGAGAACTGAGTTACTTGTATCTGGAGGAGTTTGCAACTTTTGCAGCTCTTGAATAAAAGTTTCCATTGGAATGGGGTAGACTTTTAAAAACAAGGTGTAATTAGCCATAGAAATCTTGTTTTAAATAAAACCCAAAAATCTATGCTAGAATAAGTATTTTTATTGTATTTAGTTACTTATTTGCATCCTTCCTTTATTATTTTTACACATAACTTGAAGTGGTGAACATATCCAGCATGCCTTCCTCCTATTTTTCCCACAATAAGATTTAGTACTATTTCCTGTGGGTAAGAATAAAAGATCTTAAAGTAAATGTAATACCATAGTGATTATTGTTTCACATGTAGAAATTAATAACTTGCATTTTTCACTTTGTTTTACTGAATCTGTATGCCTGTTTATTTTCTAGGTTTGTTCACCCTCGCTTTGGACTGATTAAATGTATTCGCACAATTCAAGCAGTGGAGAAGGATGAAGAACTAACAGTGGCTTATGGCTATGATGACAGTTCCACTGGACAAAATGGGCCAGAAGCACCAGAGTGGTATCTGGCAGAACTAAGAGCCTTCCAAGCTTCCCTGAAAAAATGAAATGCAAGCAGTTTCCCTGTTCAGTACATTGAATCTATGCACTATCTTTGATGCTGGAATCGGGAGAGCCAGTGGGTTGATCATGCTGTGATTCTTCAATACTTTCCCCTCTATTAGAAAGAGGGGGAGCCTTTTTTGTTTTTGTTCCTTGCAGACGAATATGTTTTAGCCACTCCTTTAAAATAATCTTTACATTTTAGCTAATAGTGCTAAATGAATTATTTAATATGCTACCCAAGGAAGTGTGGCTTTTTTTTTTGTTTTGGCAATTACTGTAGTCTGCATCAGCAACTGTCAAAATATAGAAAGAGAGCATTTTTAAAACCAAGTTTTTATCTGTACCTTGGTTTCCTTGATTCTGTGCAACTACATTTTGTATTTGCCATATTGTGATGATAATAGAATTGTGCTAAGTTTAGTATTCTAGAAAAGCAGTATAATTTCAGAATACTGCTTTAGGGCCTTTTCTGTTTTGGTGCACAACAGTCCTCTCTTTACATTATCTTCTTAAAGTCAGCACAAAAGTTTAAATTAATTGTTACGTATCAGTTTTTTAAGGTTCTGAGGATAAAATAAATGTGCCTGAAAGACCAGAGCTGCTATAATTTTAATCATGATGATCACATTTGAGTGAATTCTACTTGTGCATATGAGCTTTTTCTACTGCTTGTTTTTGGTTTCTTACACTGGAGAGCATAATGTCAGTTTGTATAGAACAAATTAATCAAGGATATACCAAGAAATTCCTTGTTTGCTAAATTTATCTGTCTTTTTCTTGCCTTTAATTGGTAACTTGCAGAATCCTGGGAGCTACCAATACTCATCAAAGACAGATTTCTGTAGAGCTAGGAAAGTAGTTAGAGAAATCTGACATTGCAAACCTTTTTTTGAAAAAAAACTGCCGAGTAATTCAGAGAGTTAAATGGAAAACTCAAATTTTTTACTAGCAAGCGAATTATACTTACGATTGTCAAATAGTTTTATGGGTATCATGAAAGCACATTTTACTAATTCTAACTAACATTTAATAATATTGTGACAAAAATAGTAAACTTTCAGGGGTCTGATAGCCAGTTACTGGCATTTCCTAAACAGATTTTTAAATATGTGCAATATATACTTGCAGAATATTTGCTCTGTATTATACAAGTAGAAATGTCTATTTGCAATGTGTTTATTTATTTTAAAATAAATACCACTGAACCCAGTGGGACCTTCTTCAAATGTGGAGGGTTGCATTGCTAGTTTCTTATGCAGAAAAAGGACTTTGAATATGATCCTTATCAACAGACTGGTGATTCTGTTGATGAAACTGATTTGCTTATTTCACTCTTTTAAATATGTAATACTGTAGTTCCTAATTACAGTCTTTATACCATGCACATTTTAATTTTCAGTTTAAAAAGAGCCATTTTATTGCCAAAATAGTTTATGTAATTTATGTATCAATTTTGAACTATTGTTCAGATTATAAATTAGCATTACAATAATAAACTACTATTTTACTGTAAGTAACAAAGCTAGAACCTACATATTGCAATTTCATAAGGATTTAAATCTAGGATACTCCATAGAGTAGAATACATATAGAAACTGGTCATGTAAAAATGTAAAGAAAAATGTTCCTAAACATTTTATTTACCAAGGGAAAATCTGTAACACCTGTATTTAAGCGCAGAGAGAAATATGGGCCATAAGATTTGGGTTGGCAGTAGAAATAGATTTGTTATTTGATTTAAGCTGCATCTCTTCCTTTGTCCCATATACCATTACATCGATGAAGTGGCATTGTCCTAAAGAGACTCAGTGCATACTCATGCTTCTTGGACCCTTGGCTCCTGCCTGTGGCAGCTCTGACTAGTAGGCCCTTTGCACACTTTGGGTGTTGACAGTCATTCATGCTTTTGTGACCTCCTCTTATCTGATTACTCTACATGGGACTGCCTTTGAAGAGCACTTGGAAACTTCAACTGGTGGAGCATGCAGCTGCACAAGTGGTAAATGGTATCAGATATTGGACACATATAACACCATTGCTTCGTGAGCTGTGTTAGTTGTCAGTGTGTTTCCAGATGCAATTCAAGAATGCTAAATTTAGAGTTTATTATTAAGAATTCAGTCCTTTATATGTTTATCTGAAGGGAAGTTTTACTAACTTTTTTTTACAAAACTGCATTTGATTTCTATGTCAAGGGAATAATGGACATTTTAAATGGACATTGATAACATCACCTTGATATCCACAGAGTTCAGTCCGCAGCAAAGACTTCTTTATTGTTCCATAACATTGTTTCATATCCTAAAAGCAATCTTATAGTACTAATGAAGCCAAGCAATTAACCCAGAAAGTGCATGCCCAACATTTGCCATCCATAGACGATTTAAAATTGGCACAAGACAGCAATTATTGGGGATTGTTGGCAAATAACTATCCATGAATTGAGAAGTATTTGAAAATTGATTCATGGGATCACTACCTTCATGAATGATAACATGTAGACATTCTTTTGTCATGCTTTATTTATTTTTTTATTTATTTATGAGACTTATATACCGCTTATGCTGTGTGCTTGCAAGGGGTGCAGAATCAAACCCAATCCTGACAAGCAATCACAATTACTGTATGCTGTGAACCTTTAAAACTACAAAGGATGGTAGTGAAATGGATTTGTCATTTTTAAAACACTTTGTGGTTAACACTTTTGGAATACATTAAAATGGTTTCACTTTTTTATTTTAGATATTTGCCATTGTACATTATATTCTAATTTAGATTTCAACATGTTCATTACATTCTAATTCACATAGTCCCTGCAGTGATTTATAGTGATCAAAATTATTTAGTGTATGCTCTTCTATCTACTACTACTACTGAGTTCAACAGAAGTTATTTGCAGTTGAATTTCCCCAAACGTGTAGCCATTTTCATTTGTTCAAAATGCCCATCTTATCTAGTGATGCTAACTAGAAATCCTAGGTACTAAGTATCAAAAATAAAGAAGCTAACAGATGGTAAAGCTGATGCATTGTGAGCTTATTTGCATAAAATTTGCATCTATTGAAGTAAAAGTACCCTATCTTTATTCAGTTTTAATGGGGGAACTATCATTTTTTAAAGTTTCAAACTATACAATTATATCCAGAACACTTGCATATTCAATATTGAAATACTTATCTTTCATCCAGAAACAAACTCCTGCTTTACATAATTGTCACAGGGAAGTCTCATCAATTCAGAGGGACTCCATATTTTAATTGAATATTTAATAATAGTTAATAAAATGGGCATATGTTTCAATTAAAAATCTGACTGATAAAGGAGAATATTTGTAGCTTGGGGCTGAAATGAGGGCTCCTTGGTGATCTCTGAGCTTTGTTGTTTTCTTGAAGATGTTTCATTACCCAAACTAGGTAATATCATCAGTGCACATCAGCTCACCAAAAATAAAGTTACGTAGTTTGGGTAATGAAATGTCTGCAAGAAAACAACCGAACTCAGAGAGCACCAAAGACTCCTCAAAAACCTGATTAGATTTTTTTAAAATTTGTATTTTCTCTACTGCTTTTTTTCTGTCTTTGAACTTTCTGTGGAACTTCCCTACTGTAACTCATGTAAGCTTCTTGCAGAAATCTACTTCCTTGAATTAGAAAAAAAATCTCCTTAGCCTAGTGCAGGGGTAGGCAACCTTGGCTCTTTTATGACTCGTGGACGAGTCATAAAAGAGCCAAGGTTGCCTACCCCTGGCCTAGTGGAATGACGTCTTTGGTCCTCAGATGAGACTTATTTTGTGTTGGGTTAGGTCTGTGTATTTACAAAACTTTCAATAATATATTAAATATTACTCAGTGACCTAAAACAACTACTTTATTAAGGTGAAGAGCCTTAATGACATCCATAGGTATTACTTATGATTTCTAAAACTCTGGGTAAAAGAAAAAATAATTGTACTTTATTTATAGACTTTGTTTACTATACACTGAACACATTGTGAAAGAAATAGAAAAATGTCTCTGAGGGAAAATTGCTTTATTCTGCATTGTGAAAATAAAGTATTATATGAATTGTTGTGACACAATTTTTCCCCATTTCTTACATTATCTATGATAGTAAGTGTTAAATTGATAACTTGGTTTACATCTGGCCAAACTTGGACATTGATGGAAAGCAAAAAAAGAGCAGATTTTTCATGGTGTTTTAATCTCCATTTCAATATGTATCTGTTAGAGAATTTTAATTTCTCTATTGGTGAAAATCAGAAGCTCTCACAGTTGACTGCATTTAGCTGATTTAAATAACTTTATATAAAAATATTTACAATACCATTCTTCTTTACAGCAACATAGCTTAATGAAGACTTCTTACAGAGACAGACCAGAGATAAACCTTGAGACTGGAAATCCAGCTCCTAACTCAATACTCTTTTTTGCACAGGCTCAGTAGCACTTTCTTCACATTGGCTGACTGAGTTACCACATGACTCTTCCTGTTCATGAATATTCCAACAGTATCTTATTGTATTATTTTGTATTAGTTTTCTGCCCTTTATCATTATTTTAAAATTTAGTTGTGTGTTATTAAACATTATTTTGAGTAAAATAATTCAAGAATACATACAGAAAATCTTCAATTTCTGGACCAACCCAAGAATAATTATTAATTTAGTGCAGTTACAATATAAGATGATTATCTCTATGAAAATATTTATCTTGACCTACATAGCGGGGAAATAGGTGATAAGTTAACTATGATGCTGAAAAAGTAGACTCAAATGCATTCATGCTATGGTGAATGTATATGATTATAGTGCAATATAATTCCAATATCAATTTATCATGACCCTTCTTTGTCTAATCTCTTAGGTTTTCCTTTCAACATTAAAACATGTCTTTTTAATGGAATTTAATTTATGAGATTTATTATGATAGACAACCAGATGCTTTTCTTTCTATCTTCAAACAAACTGTTTAAGCCTAGCTTTACAAGGTTAGAAACAAAATTTGGTTAATTCCATAGTGGAAAAAGTGATAATTAGATAGATGCTAAATATTGCAAAGTTTATAAATTAAAATACATTTCTGTCACCCAAATCTGGCTGATATAACAAATATGTCAACTGACCATTAAGTTCTGTTTTCTCCAAATAATGAGAACTTCAAACTTCCATGAGCACTACATGTTTGCTGCTTTGGTTTCATTTCTTTAGGAGGGAAATCATGGAGTGTTTATTGGTGATGGATAATATGAGCATTTGTCTGCAAACATACAGTCTAAGCAGCGGACGTAGGGATACAGCATAAACAACAGACAGCTGAAATATCATTGCTCTCATAATTTAGTGAGATGAAGAGTGCTTATAGGATCCAAATCCAGCCCTTTTTGGGAAAGATTGAAGGCAATAGAAGAAGGGGACGACAGAGAATGAGGTGGCTGGATGGAGTCACTGAAGCAGTAGGCGTGAGCTTAAATAGACTCCAGAAGATGGTAGAGGATAGGAAGGCCTGGAGGAACATTGTCCATGGGGTCGCGATGGGTCAGACATGACTTCACAACAACAACAACAACTTAATTATCTAATCTCTGCCTGCATAGAGTTCTATCTCTGGAATCTCCAAACAATCAACAAAACTGTTGTTAAAATCAATCTTAATCATAAACTCTATCAAATGATATTAGAGACAGCACAAGTTCAGCAAAATCCCCCCCTCAATACCTACATATAGTGAATCTTAGCACAGCTGACACTTGCACAGAGTTAGAAATTTACTCATCATGAATTCTTCAAATCATAGGGTTGGAAAGGTTATCCCCCTGCCCAGAGCAGGAATCATCAGATCATCCCAAACAATAATAATAATAATAAAGTTGGAAGGGACCTTGGAGGTCATCTAGTCCAACCCCCTGCTCAGGCAGGAAACCCTATACCATTTCAGACAAATGGCTGTCCAGTTTCTTCTTAAAAACTTCCAGTATTAGAGCGTTCACCACTTCTGGAGGCAGGTTGTTCCACTGGTTAATTGTTCTGTCAGGAAGTTTCTCCTTAGTTCTAGGTTGCTTCTCTCCTTGATTCCCAGGGTGTGTGACATACTACTCAGGGAGCAGCTTTATAATCTTTTATCTTTTTTGATAGAAAGGATCTTCAGATGCAGGTGAACTTAATATGATTGGAACCACTATATGGAGCAAGTGGTTAGGGAGGCCAAGAACTCTCCTGGCCCCCCAATTTTTGAAAAGAATATCTTGCATACATTCAGGAGGTAATGGAAAGCAAACTGCAGAAGCAAAGGTGCTACTTTCCCTCCCCCCCCCAAATTGTACTGACATCCATCTCTTACGTCTGTTTCCAGTTTATATGCTATGGGAAACTAAAGCTAGTAAGCCAACAACATTTTGTGGCCACAGACCATGGTTAAGACTTTAGCTTTAACTTCATCATGGTTCTATACCAATATTTGTACATTCTCAAAGAATAACCACATTGCACCCTGCACAGAGTAGTTGAGGATAGACCTTCCTCCATTTATAGCCATTTCCAGAAAGTGGCTCCTGCTGCTATCAGTCTCCAAGTTTCTTTTTCAAAACGCAGATATACAAGTAGTCCTTGACTTACCACAATTAGTTTAGTGATTGTTCAAAGTTACAACAACACTGAACAAAGTGATTCATGCCCCTTTCTTTACACTTATGACCACTGCAGCAGCCCTAGGGTTATGAGATCAAAATTCAGATGCTTGGCAACTGACTCATATTTATGACAGTCATAGTGTCCTGGGTCATGTCATCCCCTTTTGCAACCTTCTCATAAGCGAAGTCAACGGGGAAGTCAGATTCACTTAACAACTGAGTTACTAGCTGAACAACTGCAGTGATTCATTTAACAACTAGGGTAAGAAAGGTTATAAAATGGGGCAAAACTCACTTAACAAATGTTAGCAACAGAACGTTTGGAATCAATTGTGGTTGTAAGTTGTGGATTACCTGTATTTTCTCTACTCTTGATTCAAAGGAGAGCTCACACTGCCAGTTTCAATCTTCAGGGCTTTAGAACTCCCATAACAACTTTCTAAACAATTATTTCCCTCTCTATTGTGGAAGAACACATACACGTATTCATCTTTACAAAATAGAGGATGACGTGCAAATTACCTCTCATTTGTATTTCTGCACCTTTTTCTCCCTGCTTGTTATGTTTACACGGAACAGTACATTTCCAAAGGCCAATCTCCGGCACAGATGTTGCCTCAGGGCAAGATTCTACATTTGAACTCTGATGGGAAACATTGCAGTACAAGCAATTTGCGCCAAGTGAGAAAAAAGTATTTCTTGCTGCGTCATTTAAAATGTAGAGCTGAAATATTAAGATGTGATAAACCGTTTCCCCACGTGTTACTTTACATCAGAGTTGGGGAGTCTTGTGTCATAAAATAAGTTTTAGAGCACAGAATGCATTAACCTTTATCACTACAATAGTTAAGCTGCTTAGGATATTGGGAGTTGTACATCAGGTTACCCAGATGGCACAAGAATCAGGAAGACTATGTCTCTTCTTCACATGCAAAATATGGGAATAAATTCTTTATGGGAAGTCCTGGTAGCTCTTCACTCAGCAATTGTTTTGTCTAGTTAAATAGCTGTATACTGGGAGAATGCAGAGTTACTAAATACTTCTTAACAGATTAAACTCCAAACCTCTAAAGGAAATGCATTTTTTATTGTATGCAATGGGTTAAATTCAGAGATGGAAGGAAAGGCCACAAGAAAAAGTACTACCTGCAAAAGGGAAGGGCAGGTAAATGCATTATGTGGGTGGAGCAAGATTTTATTCTGATTGCAGGAAGCAAAGAGTGGGGCTTAGCAGCCAGAGACAGTCCCTGGATGACCAAGTCATTCCCACCAGACTGTAGCTGCTGGCCCAGGCGGGTGAACTTCTCAAGCTTTTTTTGAGTAAGGAGCTTAAACCTAGCTGAGGTAAGGCAATGCTGAGCACACACACCTTGCTCCCACCCATAGGGTTTAGCTGAGTTTCTCATTTGCTCTGGCAGGAGGTGCAAAGGCTTTGTGCCTGTTTTTCCCCAACTTCCTGTAATGGCTCCTTTTCTTTGTTGGCACAGTGGAAGAAAGAAGAGCGTCCGAAGGTGAACTCAGTATTGAATATTGTCTATAACAAAGCAAATATGTGCTTGAGAGATGGAAAGTATCTTTCTCTGCTTTTCCAGCTTTAAAATCTTTTGCCTTTCTGTCTCGCATGCTTTTGTTGGATCTTCTGCAGAGCTTCTGATTACTGGTTATTTTAACCTTCCCAAATTCTTTCAGAAAATGATTCAGGGCCGACAGGAGAAGAAGTATCTGACTACTTTGAGATATTTCACTATTGTTGACTCACAGCATTACCAGTACCACTTAAACATTTGAATTTTAGTCCTTGCTTCCATGATACTGGCTTTGTCCAAAGCATTGCTTCCTACAGCTCTGTGTCTTCAGTTTATAGTACGGGTATTCCTTAACTTACAACCATTTGTTTAGCAACTGTTTAAAATTACAAAAGCACTGGAAAAAAAGGGACTTATAACCAGTCTTTGCACTTATGACCGGTGCAGCATCCCCACAGTCATGTGATCAAAATTTGGATGTTTGGTAACCAATGTGCATTTACAACAGATGCAGTATCCTGGGTTTACAGGATTGCCATTCCATAACAAACAAAGTCAATGGGGGAAACTGGGTTGACTTAACAACCATGATAAAAAAAGGCCATAAAATTGGGCACAACACAATAATTGCTCTAGTTGGCAATGGAAATTCTGATCTCAATTATGGGTGTAAGTCGAGGACTGTCTGCAGTCCAAGAAACCTGTCAGTGTCATAACATTAATAAAACAGTGACATGAGCTGAAATAACGTGCAATACCTCAACAGCTCGTTCAATTCTTTTTAGCAGGGCTGGATTTCACAGAGTTTCTCTTTTATGGAATGAAGCTGAACATGAGAAATAAAAGAATTCCAGTTACATTTGACTTTTAGACCAGAAAAGCTGTATTCATTGCTGTATTGGATCCATAATCTCCCGTTACTAATGCCCTTTACAGAACCTGTAATTCCTGATATTTTGGGCCACAGCCACTTTTCTTTCCTGTATATGGTTACTTGGTTTCAATCATGGTTGTAGGTCACCACTTACCCAAGTAATGAGAAATTGTTGAATGCTCGGTGGGCATAAATTTATGATAATGATAATATTCCATTGATGATGCAACATGGTTTGGTGCAATCCTATTCATAATTAACTAATTAAATGTATATGCTGCCTATCTCATTGATAAGGAATCTCTGGGCTATATGGAATTGATTTCCTTGGTTTCCCATAAGTGTGACAGTTTAGGACAGGGCTTTTCAACCTTTTCATAGATTGTACCACTTTTAAGACATGACAATATTTGAGTACCATCAGTGCTTAGCAAGCTGTCAAAAACTTGATGACTAAAAGAAAGGAGGGGGATTTTGGGTTTTACTGATTAGATTCATTTGGTGTTATTGAAATGTCTAGTTCAGTGGTTCTCAACCTTTCTAATGCCGCAACCCCATAATACAATTCCCCATGTTGTGGTGACCCCCAACCACTTATACATCACCGGGTGCCAGGGGCGTAGCCAAAGAAAAGGGGAAAAAAATAGCGGACAGCCTTGTTTGGCGACCCCCGTGAAATGGTCGTTCGACCCCAAATGGGGTCCCGACCCACAGGTTGAGAACCACTGGTCTAGTTTATAATATTATAGAAAAGTAAAAAGTTGATGTTCAATGTTAATGCTTCCTTCTACTGCAACAGAGGAAGTATGTTCTTTTTCCTTTCTCCCCCTCACTTTTTCCCCCTTTTTCCTCCCCACTGTATCCTACTATTTGCAAAATGCAATAACCTTAAATTAAGCCTGTTTACCTACAAAGAAAACTTGCTAAAAGCTATAGACAGGCTCAAGATAAGGGGGTAAAACGAATTACATTTGTTTAAAGGAATTAAACCTATGGAAGCCAACATTTTGGATTCATTGCTAGCCTTTGTGAAACAGACTAAAACATTCCAATAACCAAAGCACACAATCGAGCCTCTGAATTACAAAACGCTGTAAAAACTATATAAAAATCTTTATGGTAATCCATTCAAGCTGCCAGCTGATCAGGAACACACTGGCTTCCAAAATAAACCCACCTCCTTTCTGACATGCTTGTCTCCCGGCTTTTCATTTCATCAGCGCTGATTGCATTCTCCTGGCTGGAGAAAACAAACCAGGGGACCTTTTCGTCCAGCAATAGCTGCTGCTGCTTCTTCCCTGTCCCTGTTTCCTCTGTGCCTGCAGAGCTCTCCTTCCACAGCTTCTTCTCCGTCCCCTTCTCTTTCCCTATTGTCTTTCCCCCCTTTCCTGCCAAAACCACCTCTTTTTATATCGTCTCCTCTGCCCCCTTTTTCTTCAGTTCACCTCCAGCTCCGCACTGCTTCCAGAAGCACCAATCAGCTGGAGCCAATCAATTGGAGCCCTGCCGGCACTCCTGAGGTTTCTGCCAAGCCCCGACAGTACTGCAGCTCCAGCTGCCTCTCCCTTAGGCTTGGGTTGCTTCAGCTCATTCCCCTCCCCTGTTACACTTCTCTAGGATGGTTGCATACTACCTACCATGTGCCAAAGTACCACAGGTGGTACGCATACTACCGGTTGAAAAGTCCTGATCTAGAACACAATAGAGTGCTGATGAGATATGGACTGTGAAAATGTAGATCCAGGATGCTCAGCCTGGGAAAGTGCTGGGGTGTAGTACCCCTTCAGTGGTCAACTGCATTCATTCTGTATCACACTGCAGCATCTGCCCCCTGCATGCTTGCATTCTGTAGACTCACCAGCCTGCTGGCCTGCTTGCAAACTGCCTACCAGTAAGAAAAGGTTTGCGATAACCAGAGCTTGCAACTTCCTGCTGGCTTCTCCACTGATTTGCTCATTGGAAACTGAAAGAAAGTCTCAAATTATGGTCACATGAGGCCCTTGTTTAATGACCCATGGTCTTCATTTAACAATAGCAATGTTAACTTCCAGAACTGCCACCACCAAGTAATACAATCACATGATATTGCACTTTGTGATTGCATTGTTTAGTGATGGAAATTCTGGCCCCAATTACTGTTGTTCAGTGACAACAACCTGTAATAAAAAAAAATCAGAAGCCTAGCTTTTTAAAAGGAAGTGAGAAGACAATTTCAGCCCATTTCAAACCATGTGAATTGATAATAATTGCAAACATTTTGTTAATAAGGTGACCAACCGTCCTCCTTTTGGAAGGACAGTCCTCCTTTTTTGAGTTCTGTCCTCCCTTGAAAAGTGTCCTCCTAAATGTCCTCCTTTTCCATATACCGTCCTCCTTTTGGCAGGACAGTCCTCCTTTTGTGAGTTCTGTCCTCTCTCGAAAATGTCCTCCTAAATGTCCTCTTTTTGACGACTAATCTGCAGGGCTTTTGTTTCCTCATAGAACGCTCAGAAGGCGTTCCGGGACCTTTTTTTATTTTTTTTCAACTTTTGCATCTACTCCCCCTATTGGCTTTCGAAAGCCAATAGGAATTGCTGCTGAGCGCGCCAAAACACCCGGGCGGCAAACTTTGCACGTGCAAGTTGCAGGAACTTGCACCCCTCACTGCTACCCAACTACACAATCTCCTACTTCTTAGTTCCAAAGATAGCTGGAGGAGACTGGAGCGGTAAGTTTCACTTGATCTTCCCTGTTCAGTTCTACGCGGGGATACACAGGGTAGGCGGTGGTGCTGGGGGGCGGCTGGGGGGGGGTGGCTGCAGGACCAGAGCTGGCGCAGCTGGTGCTTTGCAAGCCACGGGGCCGGCTCTACGGGGATGGGCAGGGGGGGCGGTGGTGCTGGGGGGTGGTGGTGCTGGGGGGCGGCTGCAGGGCCGGAGCCGGCGCGGCTGGTGCTTTGCAAGCCGTGGGGCCGGCTCTACCGGGATGCGCAGGGTGGATGGTGGTGCTGCCCCAGCAGCTGGGGGGCGGCTGCAGGGCCAGAGCCGGCGCGGCTGGTGCTTTGCAAGCCGCGGGGCCGGTTGTACGGGGATGGGCAGGGGGGGCGGTGGTGCTGGGGAGAGGCTGCAGGGCCGGAGCTGGCGCGGCTGGTGCTTTGCGAGCTGTAGGGCCGGCTCTCCATGGCAGGGCAGCAGTGCTGGCGGGGCGGCTGTGGGCGGGGGCGCGGCGGGCAGTTGACCTTCCATGGGCTGCGCCAGCTGGTGGTCTACGCAGTGCTGACCTGCACTGCCACCATCTCACCCTGCGCATCTACATGGCCATCCTGGAGCGCCTGGCTCACAACACCTGCCTCCGCCGCCCACCCCCGTGCAGTCCAGCCGTGTAGATTTTTGGACAAGTGAGAAATCGAGATTGAATATTGATACTCTAGCTGCAGCACTTGCCATAAAATTCAATATGAAGGATATTTCTTGTTCAGATATTTCCAATATATTGTTAGAAGATGATACATTGACAAAAATATTCATTCAATGGAAAAGTACTCATTTAAATAATTAATAGGCATGTAAGCATAATTACAATATAAAATGTTATTGTTACAAATGTTTTTTATTATGCATTTATCATATTATAGTGTATTCTGTATTATTGTTGCAATAAATACAATGTTTCTTTTATTTACGATATTTTTTTCTTAAATTTATTCGTGTCCTCCTTTTTGTTGTAAAAAAGTTGGTCACCTTATTGTTAAAGAAAAATATGTGAAGAATAGAATCATGTACAATAAAATGCAAAGAAATTTGACAAAATTGCTTAATTTTTGTTTTGCTTTTGTATAAGGTAATTCAGGTTGTTCACTTTAAAAATATCAGTGTGTCACTTAAAGTTTGAACAAAATGTTAATAGACATTTTTTGCAAGCATATTCCATTCAGGACCTATTATGGGGCTGCCTTATTTTCAATAATCTCTGTGCTTCTTTTGACTTGAATATATGTGTGTATTTGTATACAGTGGAATGGATCGCTACAGATATTTCATCTTTAACCAGAGAATCATGTTGATATTAGGGCTATTTCAGATAGCTTGTGCCACAGTTTGTGTCATCAGCGGATTAATAGATGGTGTTGTCAGAAAGGAATCAGCATTGAGTAAATCTAAGATACCCATTTGGGCTGGAGTGGTAAGCTACATTTTCTATCCTTCTTTCCAGAATTTTTTAAGAATGTATTGTTATGAGTCCTTTGAGTTTAGAAGAATGGATATTTAAAGTTTCTAACTTTGCAGAAATGGCAAAAATTTCTGCTTATTTGAAGGATCATACACAAGAAAGATATATTATTGTATGGAGAAGATGGATAGATTATATTCAGAAAAAATATGGGACTATAAAGTTTCATTTATTTTATGAGTAAATTTTATAGTAACTGTTGTAGAGATTTGTTTATATGACTTAATTTAAGGGGAGTTAAAGGTTAAGTATGATTTTTTTTTCTCTTTTCTTTTTTTCTTTTTTCTTTTTTATTATTGTTAACTTTCTTAATAATAACCCTTTATTCTGCTCTGGGAAGCCAGGGGGGAGGGGGGAGGGGGGAGGGTGAGTGGATGGGTGAGTAATGATAATATAGACATGGTAAACGCTTGGGCATTTCCCCTCATATGTGTGAGAGGGATGAGAGGGGAGGAAGGAGTAGGGAGGAAGTAGGATGGTTAGAGGAGAAGGGGAGGGGAAGAGAGTAGGAGGAGAGGAGAGAAAGAGGAGGGAAGTGGGGAAGGATTAGAGAGGGTGGACGCAGCCTGGGGGGAATGGGCAGGCGGTACCAATGGTTAGGAATTTAATTGTATTTTGTATGAATAAATGGAAAATAAAAACTTTTTTAATAAAAAAAAAGAATATATTGTTATTTCCAGGGAAGTTGCTGTTTCTTACTTCACATTCAAGCAAATAAGACCTAGATTTGATAGTAAGAAGTATAACTAAGTATATAGCATTTCATGGTGATGAGTATAAAGAAGAAAGATTCAGTCAAAAATTTTCCACTTGCTTTAGAGTGGCAGGCTCCAAAATGTGCTTGTTGATTTGTAGAGATTTTTTTATATATATAATACAGATCTTGCCAAGTGGGATTCTGAGATTTCTGATGTTTCTCAATACTGGATGCTTATACCCAGGGCTTTTTTTTGTTATAGAATGACCAGAACATAGTTCCGGCACCTTTTTGGGATGGAACCTTGTAGGGTAGGCAAGGCAGGTTGTATGACATGTGTGAGTTCCAGCACTTTTTTTTTTTTTTTACAAAAAAAAGCACTGCTTATACCAGAGGTTCTCAACCTTTTTAATGCCATGACCCCCAACCGGTCGTAAGTCGAGGACTACTCAACTGGTGCAGCACCCTTTGCAGAATGGGACTTTTGGTGGGCTCAGCAGGGCAGAGACAGCCTGGACAATTCCTATTGGTTTTTGAAAGCCAATAGAATTAGACTCTATTCAAGAGAGTCTATTCTATTGGCTTTCAAAAGCCAATAGAATAAAAGGGAGTAGTACAGCTAAGGAAAAGGGGGGAAAAATGGTGGACTGCGTTGTTTGGCGACCCCCATGAAATGGTCGTTCGACCCCAAATGGGGTCCCGACCCACAGGTTGAGAACCACTGGCTTATACCAACATTTCTCCTCAATAACCTTGTTGCCTGGATTACTGAATTCACATCTAATATGTGCCTTTATAAGTAATTGATTAAAGAAAAGAACGTGTGTGAAAAGCTCTACTGAATCCAGTTCTAAGGCCATCTAATCCTGAATTTTGTGTCACAGAATGGCCCTTTGAATGCATCTGGGGAGCTTGCACAGGACTGTGAATGATCCCTTCCACTACTGCTTTCCAACAATTATAACATTTTGCTTATGATGCAGGAGGGAGTAAACAGCAATAAAAAAATAGTAGCTAATGACAATCTGATCCTCCATGAACCTATTCACGCTGGCTGAGGAATTCTGGGAATTGAAGTCCACAAGTCATAAAAGGGCCAAGTTTGAAGACCCCTGTTTTAAAACTATCCAAACTGTCCCTTATTAGCAAAACTCTGGCAGCTATTGTAGAGTGTGGTGTCTGCCACATGTCAGCTGTTGGAATTGCTCATTTAAATAACTTCCTAGTTTTGATTTCTGGGTCCTATATGAAAAGTGAGCTCTGAATGGGCATTAGAAAATAGTGTTATTTCTTGGTGTCAGCAAAGAGAATTTGATTCAATTGAATAGCATTTATCCTGAATCAGAATTGATTTGTGGGTATTTGTGTTTGAGTTTACTATCTCCCTCTGTCCTAGTTTGTGATCTTAAGGTATTTCCCTGACTCCATTTAGCTTATCATTTACCCCAGCTCCTTAAATGTCAAAGAGCAGCTTAAAATTAGGACAGGAGATTAATAAAGTTTACTGCAATTCATCATAGTATCTGATTTTTAACAATAGTATCCTATATATAAAGCTAAAGTTTCTTTGAATCAAGCTTTGACTTCTATTCATTTACATGGCCATGAAGTTTTCTTGGCGACAATATGGAAATGATTTTTTTTGTTAGCTTCTTCCATAGACTCCCCCCCCCTCAATTTCTAATCTATCTTGAAGTAGTCCCATCCAACCAGATTACTAAGAATAGAATAGAGCTGGAAGGGACCTTGCAGGTCTTCTAGTCCAGCCCCCTGCTCAAACAGCAGGATCTATACCATCTCAGTCAAGTGACTATCTAGCCTCTTCTTAAAAATCTCCAGTGATAGAGCACCCATGATTTCAGGAGGCAAGCTGTTCCACTGGTTAATTGTCCTCACTGTCAGGAAATTTCTCTTTAATTCCAGGTTGCTTCTATCTTTGATCAGTTTCCAACCATTGTTTCTTGTCTTGCTTTCTGGTGCTTTGGTGAATAATGTGACCTCCTCTTCTTGGTGGCAGCCCCTCAAATACCAGAATACTGCTATTATGTCTCCCCTATTTCTTCTTTTCTTTAGACTAGCCAAACCCAAGTCCTGCAGCCATTCTTCATATGTTTTAGTCTCCAGGCCTTTAATCATCTTAGTTGCTCTTCTCTGAATTTTTTCCTAACTCTCAACATCTTTTTTGTGACATGGTGATCAAAATTGGCTGCAGTATTCCAGGTGTGGTCTTACTAGGGTTTTATAAAGCGGTACTAATACTTCGTGTGATCTTGATTCTATGCCTCTGTTTATACAACCCATGACTGTATTAGCTTTTTTGGCTGCTGCTGCACACTGCTGGCTCATAGTCAAATGATTGTCCACTAGGTCTAGGACTCCAAGGTCCCTCTCACAGTTACTGTTTTTAAGCCAGGTCTCACCCAATCTGTATTTGTACCTTTGATTTTTCCTGCCTAAATGTAAAACTTTGCTTTTCTCCACATTGAAACTCATTTTGTTCGATAGGGCCCATTGTTCAAGTTTGTCAAGATCTTTTTGGATCCTGAGTTTGTCTTCTGGGGTGTTGGCTACTCCTGCCAGTTTGGTGTCATCTGCAAATTTGATGAGTTCCCCTTCAATTCCGTCATCTAAATAATTTATGAAGATATTGAAGAATACTGGGCCTAAGACGGAATCTTATGGTATCTCGCTGCTTACTTCTCTCCATGTGGATGTAATGCCATTGAGGACTACTCATTTACGGTTTGCCAGCCAGCTTCAGATCCATCTGGTGCTGATGTTGTCTATTCCACCTTTTCTAGCTTACCAAGGAGTAGGTTGTAGTCTACTTTATCAAATGCCTTTCTGAAAACGAAGTATACTATCTCCACATCATTTTGCTGATCTACTGGTTTAGTCAATAACCAGACATGACCCCTCTTAACTTCTGTGTCCAAACAAGGGCCGCAAGATGCTGGGACCTCTATCCATGGGATTACCTACTCCAATCAGCCAAGAGGGCTAATTCTATAATAATTCTAAATATGAAAATTATCTGTAGTTGCCTTTGTTGATAGGCTCCATGGGTGAAAAAGAACATTTGAGGAGCTAAGTAAAAAAATTAGGACTTTTCATCACTATATAATAGCTCATAAAGTATGTCTCTGGCTGACTATATTTTTGGGTAATTAAAGATTTACTTTTGTGTGTATTAAATTTAACCATAATACAATTTTACATTTTGTTTTTGCTATGTCTCTTATCCTGTCCCTATGCTTTCTGTGTTTTAGTTTATGAGCATTCCTGGAATTATGGCCTTAAATTCATCTCAGAGGAAGAATCCCATTCTGGTGAGTTCCTAGTGTTGTTGTTTTGTTATTGTTTAAGAGCAGATTTCAAAACACAATGAATTTGTTATAATTTAGTAATAATAATAATAATAATTTATTAAACTTGTATGCTACCCAATTCTTAACGATTCTGGGTGGCTCACAACAGTCAAAGATATTACAATCAAATCAATAAAATGTAAAAGACAAAGATAAAAAATGCCACACACAATGAAGCAAAGGGTCTCCCTCTCCCTCCCCCTAGGACTGGATGAAAAGCCATTTAACATTTATTTTTTGTAAGTGGTTTAGTGGTTAACATTCCTTAAACAACTTTAGATTTGTTTCCTTTGTGCACTTTCACATAGAATCAAATACATTGATTCGTATTGAGATATTCAGTTACAGTGTGAAGACCTACATTTTGCCTTCCTTGAGGAAAATAAATAAATTAAATGAAATCTTAGGTTTTCTATATTCCTTATACAGGTGAATGCCACGATAATCACTTCAGTATTTTCCTGTTTCACCACTTCAATTGTAATACTTTATGCCTCTATGACATTAGAGTATGGTGAAAAATATGAGGAGTGGACCTCTTACCATTCAGCTATCGTAAGTAGCATATTTTATGTTCAGTATGTCCTTTAGATTATTTGAACTACAGGTCCTATAATGCACAGCTGGTGCATGATAAACAATGAAATCCAGCCTATTTGGAAAGCAGTAGTTTGGACTCTTGAGGTTTACAATGCAAATCCAAATATTAGCATTATGTTATGCTACCAAGTGGTATAGAGTAGGGCTCCTCAACCTTGGCAACTTTAAGACTTGTGGACTTCAACTCCCAGAATTCCTCAGCCAGCAAAGCTTAAAGTTGCCAAGGTTGAGGACCCCTGGTATAGAGTACAGGCACTCTTTTAATTTATGACTAGTCACTTAATGACTGTTCAAAGTTACAATGGACTTTCCCAGGGCTACTTATGACCCAGATTTTAAGTTCTGACTGATGCTGCCCCAGTCATCTGAGTGCATTTATGGTTGCTTGCAGATCCTGTGGTCAAATGACTGTTTTACAACACTTTTTGCTGGAAAGTGATATATATTTCTGATTTCTAATGGACAATGGATTTGCTTAATGATCACCACAAAAAAGATCATAAAATCAGGTGTGGTCACATGATGACCTATATAATGACCAGCGTGACTTATGACTGTAATTCAGGACTTAATTAAAGTCATAGTTGAGGACTACTTGTAGTTATAACATGATTTTCTCCACTTGCTACTATTAATTGCATAAGAAAAAAGCTGCATCTAATTACCTCATGCATCAAGAGGGATCTAGACAGAATTAAATGTAAAGTTTGCAGGATAGATGTGAATTCTGAGAATTCAGGCACATGGAGCACAACCAAAAGCAATTCATTGATGTACAGCTTACCTTTGACTTATGCCCAGTCACTTTATGACAATTAAAAGTTACGATGGACTTTCTCAGGACTACTTATGACCTGAATTTGAAATTCTGATGGCCAGTCACTTCTCCCACAGTCATGTGATCACATTTTGGCACACAGTAACTGGTCCACGTTTACAACAGTTTGCAGCATCCTGAGGTTACATGAAGCAATATACATTTTTGCTGAAATCAGAGTTCAGTTCCAGTTTCCAGCAAAAAACATGCCCATTGTGGACAATATGTTTGGTTAATGACAGTAGTGTTCATTTAAGCACTATAAAACAGATTGTAAAATCAGATGTGGTCAATAGGTGTCCCGCTTAACAAGTAACATGACTTATAACTGGAATGCAACTCAAACATTCCATTCCTTACTTGAAAACCTGTAATGCCTTTACTATACAGTATTAGAAAAAAAAGCATCTAAGAATTTTGGATATATCCATTTCAATCATTCTATAGCTTTCATAGCATCAGTGTGAAAAGAGGAGATTCCTCCTCTCCCATGCATTCCTAAATCTTCTCCAGAGTGGTGAGAAATCTATCTACAGTACTTGTGGTGTTGTTTTGTTTTTTTTTTTGATAAAACATGCATGTGAATTTTCTGTATTTTGAGCTGCAGGTAGTTGTGCTGGGTAAACTGGTTCAAGGAGCTAACATCACAATGATGATTTCATCAATTTTTAGTATATTTATTGTGCTGGTGATTGTGTATGTCAGCTGCCGAAGTCTTCCATGTTGTTCGTGCTATGACAGTATCACTGGACTTGTAAGTAGCAACATCATTAAGGAGGCTGTGTTCAGTCATGAATGCATCACATTGTAGCATCATTCAAATTAAACAACTGTAGTTTTCAATCAGTCCCTAGATCAGGGGTGTCTAACTGCCGGCCCGCAGGCCGGACACGTCATTGGGAAACCATGCCCATCCCATTGCCGGCAATGGTGAAAAAGTTCTGATATGTTGTGCGATGTTATGTGACATCACGAATTTGACATGTCTGCCCTAGATGGAGAAAGCTTATATCCTCTATAAATTATTGCGACCTTTCCAAACAATAGATAATACATATATAAAAAGAGATTTATTTTTCCTCTGTGTGTGCTAGATACATTTTCATGTGTTACTTAAATTTAGAAAAAAATAACAATTCTGACGTTAAGGTTTATTGATTAAAAAGGCCTAATTCAATTCCAAGGGTGCCCTTTTATGGGATATATTGCAGTTTCCTGTAAATAGAAGCTTTGTACACGATTCAAACAATATTCCTTATTGTTTCATTACACATTCCTCTTCTGGAAGGAATTCTTTTGCACAGCTTGCTACCAAGTTATTTATGTGAATGGTTTTCAAAAATACTCTTTTGAATTTGTCAGTATGCTATCTGTAAAGTAATTAAGTATGATGTGATATATGATATTATATTTATTTGTTCATATATCAGATTTGGAAATCACCCATTTCAGAGAGTTAAACAGAAAACCCATATAAATATTCTATTTCAATAAGGGGCATTGGAATAAATAAGTTCAAAAGGTGGGGGAGATCCTTCAAGATGCTATCCAGCCCCACGGTTGCATGCTTTTCTGCAGTCCTCAAGTGAGTTGGCAGAACTAGGTCTATTCCAATAGATAAAATTGGCTTCTATTTATTTAAATGTATGCAATATCATTATTTAATTTTAGGATTGTATACAATAGTACAATGGGCATAACCAAATACATATATTTAAAATTCCTGAACAAATAAAATATTGCCCTGAAAACCTTCTAAATAGATTCTTTGTTACAATTCAAAACTCAGGTGCTAGCATGAACATTTCTTGTCTTTGTATAATTTTATTAGGCACCATGTTTAATATCTTTAAAGATTAGCAAGAGCTTGTAAATGATTCCTATGCTGCTATTTTATTTTGAATCTTAATTTTATTATGGTATACAGTTCAACCACTTTTTATTAAGTGATGTGCAATATAATAAAATCCTAAGTTTATGGCTAAATTCTGATTTCAGTTTGATCCACATGCAAGCCTGTTTTAATATTTTCACATTCTAATTCTTAGGAGCATCTAAAAAATAATGAAGACCAGTTACAGGCTACAGAATTAGTTTGCCTTTCATGTGGTATGTACGGTCTTCTTCTTTTTAGAATTTCAGTGGTAAATTATATTAAAAATGGAAGGAATGTTTGCCTTTTCTACATGTGACAGGTTTATTATATTCTTCCATTATAGATCAAGCGGACAGAATTTTTAATTCTCCAGTAAAACTTTCACAACTAAATAAAGAAACAGATTATGAAATAAGTGACCCTCCTTCATACATCAGGCTGACTTAGAAACATATTCCAGAAGGATGTCATACAAGAGACCCTTAATAATTTTTAAAGAGGCATTAAATGCATGTAATTATTAAAGAAATTGAAAAATACTCTTGAACAGATGCTGAAAATAAAGGCATTAACATTGTTTATCCATCTGTCTACATGTACACCTTCAAATATATGCATCAATTTACTTATGTACAAAATTTTATTACAAAAATGAATAAAAATTGTATTTAAATTTCTTGAGTTAGAAATACTATGAAGATGCCCTCCCAGATAGATTTCTTTTCTATGCTGAAAATTGGCTGCATAATCAGAAAGCAGATTCTGTGACAACTTCATTTCTTTTTCAGCAGAGAAAGCTACAAAAAGCTTTCCATTTAACAACATTGGTAAGGAAAATTATATTATTTCACAATTTGATTGCTAAAATCTGTAAATCTCAGATGCCTAGGTTGGGAAACACTGAACTAGATGGAGTTGAAAAGTGTTCCCTCCCCTCTTGTTGCCTGTTCCCAATGTCTCAGGAAGCAAAGAATCTCTGTTCTGGAGGTCATTGTCTGGCAATGCTGGAGACAATTCCTGCGAATGGGGCTTTTGTGGGAATTTCAGATGGAAATTCAGGGCTTGTTAGAGGCAAATTTTGCAAGAGGCAGCCATTTGGTTTACCGCTGGTCCTTGGGTTAAGATGGTAACTGGGACCAAATTATTTAACGTGAAACCGCACATGACCACATTGCTTAGTGATAGCAATACTGTCCCCAGTGCCATGAAATGATTTTCAGGGTTTGTTAGGCAAGGACCAGCCCGGATCCAAGCCATTCTTGGCTTGATTATTCCCAGTCCTGAGTCTTGATAAGGGACTGCCCTCCTCTGGAATTCCCACACACCTCTCTCTCTCCCCCTCCATCTTTGTCCTTTTGGATGCCCTGAGCACAGTGACACTTTTTGGTGGCAATGGCAGCACTAATGGCACTGGAGCGGAAGCAGAAGGTAGGCGTCTTCAGTCTCATTCACCTATTGCTGTCCCCAGACATCTACTTCAACCCCAGGGCTGCCACCACTGCTGAAGAAGGCTTCTGTGCAGGGTGGCCAAAAGGGTAGAGATGGGGGGGAGGGGGAGAGCCAGTGGGAGGAGTTCAACAGGCTGGAGAGAGTTGAAGCACCTCTGCTGTTATAAATGCTGGTGGGCTACCAAGTGACTGAATTTTGATCATGTGACCACAGGGGCACCGCAATGGCTGTGACTTCAGGGACCAGGCTTAAGTACTACTATAATTCTGTAACTTGTGTTTGTCCTGCAAGTAAGACATAGCAAAATAATGTTCAAATAATTTATCTTCTCCAATTACCCATTAGATTTCAGATGAAGAAAAATGAATATAAATTCCCAGTAGAAACAGTGTTTCCAAAACTTGGATGTAAATTCAGAGTCACAAGCCAAGATTTTCTGACTACTATATAAAAACATGTGGTCTAGAACAAGCTGTGCAATCTCCAGAATGTAGATCCCCTTGCAAGAAACAAATGAATTTTCTTGGTAAACAAATCCATGATCCCCAAATGATTGTATAATTTTGCAATATAAAGTGATGAGATAAAATACAGAGAAATTGTCCAACGGGGAGGAGCAGCTGGAGCAAACTGATTGGTTTAGTTCTAGCCTCTCAACAGACCTGACAGATGAAATACAATCTTTGATATTTGCTCATGGCCAACTGTTTGAACACGTGTATTCTGAATAGTCTCCCATGCCCAGCAGTTCTTTTCAAAGTGGTAACATTTATTCACTGATAAGGACATATAAACAACTGTTGTGAAATAGGTGTCCTTGAGTTGAAAGTATAAGACTCTGTCTATGGGTCTCCTTGAAGGTAGTCCATCCAAGATCTGACATATAGCAAACCAATCCTATTCAAGAGATACTGCCTGCCTCCCCTAGCTTTTCTGGAATATCTCTTCTCAGGGGAGTGAGGACCTTTAAAATTGTTATGTTTTAAGACTATAGTAAGGGAAGAGGGCCAGGCTCTCATTGCAACTGACCAGAGGAACTGAATATTAGACCCTTGCTTATCATTCTAGCAGCACAAGAGCAGGTGAAGCAGCAGTCCATGCTGACTGCTACCAGCCAGCCAATGTGTATAAAAACAAGCCATCCAAAGATCTTTAAAACATTTTGGAGTAGTTTTTTAAAAATCCTCATGAGATAGAACTTTCTATGGTTCGCAGCAGTGAGATGTTTTTAATTGCTTCTTGAGGCACTTAGCTAAGATACAGAAATCAAAGTGACTACTCTCCAATTCTTTTCATTAGTGCCTCCTTTGAAGTTAAAACAGGCACTGACCTCTGTCACAAAAGCAGGAAATCAAGTCCTCAGAAAGAACAAGAAAAACCCATGCCAGCCAATACAAATTACTCTTCACTATGAAGACTTTTTCTGTTGTTATAGTTTATGAAGCATTGTTAACATTACTGCACAGAGTAAACAATTGTGGAAAAAATAAATGAAATCCCTTGCTCGACAATCAGCACAGCAAATGTTATCTGAAAAGCTTACACGAGGCAACAAAATGTTACATACTATACATATGTACGCAGACATGTGCACAGAGCTTGAGACAGCAGAACATACATGTTCAGCAACATAAGATGGCAACTCATTAACATACAAAGCAACATAATCTTCAGTTATTTTAACATGTATGCTGAAAATTCAACCAAAATGAAATGAGGTGCTGCCAAGTGCCTCCAAACTTTAATCATGCCACCAACTTCAGTGCCATACCACTCCACAGCATGTGCTGTGTAAGCCACCACATAGTTGATTGGATAGTTGTTTGGTGTGCCAGTTATTTCTTTGCAGCATATGGGTTTTTGCAATTTATCATGTAGCCATTCCCCATCTCCAAGTTGCATAGGCCTGGTCCAAACATGGAATGCCAGAGATGTTAAAAAAAAAAAAAAAAGCAAACCAGTTCCAATTTTTTTCAAACAGCTAAATTTTGTTGCAAGCTCAATACAAAGTCCTCAAAAATATATAGTTATTTCAAGGATGGAAGTTTCAAGAAAAAAATATTATTCGAATTTTAATCTCTAATATTCACTAGTAGAGTGACAAACTGCTTATTTGAAATCAAACATAGTGAAAACAGACTACAGAAAAGGAATTTTATTTGGTAGCATTTATTGATTTAAAATGCTGTACTAGTTTGACAGGTGATCCTTCATTTAAAGAGGAAAGTAAAGCAAATTATGTTAGAGAAAAAAAAACCTAAAAAGCACTTTGCATTCAAAACAGTATCTGTATGGTAATCCTATAAAAATAAATTGTGGTGAAACAATGTTATAAAGTTGAACTTTATCAATATTATGATACTGTTATTTATATTAGTTCAAAGTAAGAATTTCAAAGGTTTTTACTAAGAGGTAATGAAGCTCTTACATCTTAAACTGCCGGCCCACAGGCCGGATGCGTCATGTAGAAGCCACATCCACCTCAGCTCCAGCAAGGGGGAAAAAGTCATGATCCGTCGCAACACGTCATGTGATGCAGCGAGTTTGACACCCCTGTCTTACATCATTAGTGAAACTTCTACACTTTTTTAAAACATGGATTATGCATATGAAGTAAGCGGGTAAATTCTCTAAAGTGTAATCTCATTTGAAAAATATTTTAAGAACATTTCATTAAAGCTCTTAAAAAAGATTATTCCTGGACAGTATGTAAATCAAAATTATAATTAAGGCTTAAAGTGATTATTACAAAAATCCCTTATTTCAAGCATAAAAAGCCTTCCATATTTGCTATGCAAATAAATAGTACACAAATGACTTGGGGGAGGGGAATCTAAAATTTTTGAACACAATCCATTTACACATTTGGCCAACCATGCAAATGTACTGCATTCTCTGTATTTTATTCTACTTGTGCAATCAACATACTTTCTAATCTGAAATGTTACAATCTTATACAACAGTATATTAACTTGCAATAGAATACATATAATTTGACAATTACCTAATAGTATTACTATATTTAACTTTTGTAGCTGCCCTAATAATGAGTACAAAAGATAAACACTTTTAAGAATTTTCATTTTTGAGGAACAGACATTACAAGTTAATGATAATTAGGCCATTGTTCTTCTAAGCGTTAATAAATAACAGATACCATTTTCTTTCATTAAAATCCTATAGTCTCATGGCTTGTGCTCCCAAAACATTAATCTAACCCAAAATTGAACACACAGGACAATTGGAACATTAAGTTTAAATATAATATCCATTAAATATATTGAATAGATAGGAATAAATCTCTACACAATTCACAATTCACATTTTACTAATGTTAAAAGGATAGCTCTTCTCCTTGGGCCAAATTTTTAATGCCGTACTTGCTAACAGTTCAGATAATAAGCACTATTCCAATTATTAGCTGCTTTGGTTTTCCTTTTGAATTAAAGAAAAGTACAAATGCAAAATGATATATAAATGGGTTTTTGTTTTTCCCAAAAGTCAAGTACAGTGTGTTCATAAGGCATCAATAAACAATGAAATCCAATTGTATATTCCTACAGTGTCTAGTAAAGTCACTGAGATGAGTTGGACCTTTCATTTGCCCAATGTGTCCTGCTCAACATATCTCAAGCCTACTGAATGTCTAGGAACAGCTGTAACCAGACAAGAAACTGTCTGGGCATTGTTGGATTTCATCCAAAAGAGAATGTCTTTTTCCTAGAATTGTTTTATGACTGTACAAAAATAAACAGAAATAAATCTAGCTAACCAATAAAAACTTATACAATGGCTACTTTAACAGAAAGTTGCTGATTATCTACTTGTGATTTATATAAAAATCTAAAGGTCTGCTTGAGCAGTGAGCTGAAAGTATGCACCATGATCTCTGCCTGCCAAAAGAGAAGAATTTAAAGTCGTGCAACTTATGCAATGATCATCAGATGCCTGCTCATCTTTTCAGTCTTTCCCAGGAGGAGCGTTTATGTGCAAAATCACTGAAGCCTCTTAAAACAATAACAAAGTTTTAAAGAGCCCTTTCAGCAATTTCTGAACATTAATTTTACATAAATAGATTTCTTCTTTCCCCATTTTATGCTGTCCCTTCCATATTTTAATTGTTAAATGATATAAGCATTGGTATCTTTGTATGATGTTGCTGATTCAACTATTTTAAAATAAATGGAAGGAAACAGACAATTTTGGCTAGCACTTGTTTATGATTCATTAAATATGCTATGAATTCTGCAATGTTAAATCTTTTAATTTGGAAGTCTATCTTCCATTTTTCATCTTCAAATCAAGCTCATATTTTGGCTTATTAGGAGGATGCACACAACATGTCTACTACTAGTAATACTGCAAAAAGCTTGTAATATACAGTCTATTAATATATGTGCCCTGCTAACCAACGGTATACCGGTCCCTTACTGCCACCTGGCTTGTTCCGCAGCCAGTTTCGGCCAGCTGCAGTCATTTGCCGCATCTCACCCAACGCGGCAATGTCATGAGGCTTGGCGGATCCCCCCATCTGACCCATGCGAGGCCGTAGCCAGGCCTCCTGTGGTTATGGTAACCCTAACCCCCACTCCCTCCCGAACCCTAACTGGAGATGCAAAGCCCTAGGGAAAAAAACAGAAAAAGTTGGGTGGGGCAATTTTTTTGGGGGGGGGGAAATTGGTTGGAATTTGTTGATTGACCCCTCCCCAAACTTTTGTTTTCCTGCACACGGCAGCAGAGAAGTATGAAAGAGAAATGGGACAGGACTGGAAGTCAGGTAAATAAAGACATGAAATTCCTGAGGCAAGCGAGGACATCTGGGTGGTGGTATGGCAAGCTCTCCAGCTCTGCAGCAGCAGAGAACTGCAATGGAGCTGCAAAGCAGGAGGCAAGAGCCCTCCCCGAGCCTCCGGTGCTCCACCTGCCACTTTGGTCCTGGGCTGCCGCCTCCTCATTCACCTCTCAGGTGGGTCTGGCCTGGACAGGAAGGCGGCCTTCCCGGGGCAAAGACCTCACTGCTTCAGCCGAAGGAACATTGGCCTGGCCACCCCCACCTTGGCACCCTTCCCGCTGATGCCCAGCGTGGCCACCCTGGGGCTGCAGGGGCTGGACTGGCACAGGAAGGGGATGCGCCCTGCCCTCCCTGGTACTTGGTCCTCTACCAAGTCTTGCTGCTGTGTTGCATCTCCACCCCATGCACAAGCCCTGTCCCGTGCGTTTGCGGCCTGCTGGTACCAGTAAAAGCCCTACCCAAAAGTAAGCCTAGTGCTTATTTCAGAGCTCAAAAGAAAGTAAGACTGGATCTTACTTTTGGGGAAACACGGTACTAGCTGTACCTCTAGAGTAATGTAACCATCTTACAAGAAAATAAGCTACAATTTTCAGTATTATTTCCAATAATATGCAGGTGATTCACATTCTTTTCCTCTTATCTTGAAAAATGTAACAATTATAAGGAACACTATAGTGGGAATAACCATCACTTGTTCCTGTATATATACAAAACAGAAAAAGTTCGAAACATTCAATACAAGCAGAAATTAAAATAGAAAAAAAATCACTGTATACATAATTTATTTCTAAAATTAATGAACTTAAAATTTTAAATGGAAAGAAATGAAGGGGAAAGATTTCTAATACTTTATTCATATTGAACCTTTCTTCCATTGTATTTTCATAAAACTATGTACCAAATAATTAGGATTATAATGTTAAACTGATTTTTGGGCCTCCATAGAAAGATAGTATTCTTAAGCTAAACAATAAAGGCAGAGATCTGACTTAATACATTTTTAAATATCCACACTGTATTGGAGAAAAGCTCTAAAAATGAAGAGACCATTTTTTCTGTAAAACAATCTATTTGTACAGATTAAAAAAATCCCTAAAAACAAAAACAGTTCCCTAAACTTTGTCATTCATTTAGATCAGACATGTCAAACTTGTGATGTCATGTGATGTTGCGCAACGCATCGGGATGGTTTTGCCAGTGCCGGCAATGGGGTGGGCGCGGCTTTTGGATGACGTGTCCGGCCCGCGGGCCAGCAGTTTGACACCCCTGATTTAGATGCTGCAGCTTACCAAGTGCACATACTAAACTTCTACATATGAAACAACTGAATAAAGTGCCTAGCAGAAGTTAATTCTTATTAAATCAAAACATTGCATTCTTAAAGCTCTGGCAAAGAGAATAATACAATGCTGAATGCAAATATACTGCAAATTAACACCAACATGTCATTGTAGGTTTTGATGCTGGTTTCAAGTGAACTGTATTATCTGGTAACTGACTAAGCATGAGTGGCTTGTGGCTCTTTAGCTTATGAGCCAATGTCATGAATATGGCTTCCACATGGTCATTGTCATTTGGGTTTTTGGCAGAAGTTTCAAATAGTGGCATACCATAAGTGTCAGCAAATTTCTGAGCCACATCTGTAGGCACCTGAATCGCATTCCTCAGATCACATTTGTTTCCAACCAAAATCCGGGGTATATCATTGGTGAGCAAGTGTTGCTTGCACTCTTCAATCCACAGTGGTAAACTGTGAAAGCTAGCAATATTTGTCATATCATATACAAACACAACTGCGTGTACATTCCTGTAATAATGCTGCACCATACTCTTCCTAAAACGTTCCTGTCCTGCTGTATCCCACAGCTGGATCTAGAGGTGAGAAATGGACAAACAGGAATAAGAGAAAGACCATAATACATACATATATACATCAATCAATCAATGCAAACTTCAAATGGACAACTGATGATAGCATATTTACAGTACCTGTCTAAATAAAAACATATTTTCAATATAATTAACATTAATGTTTTATGTTTTTAATATTTTTCTAAAGGTTGGGAATGATGGAATTGTCTGGAATTTTGGAAAGGGGCTGTCCAGAGCATCTGTGACAAAGGAAACTTCAGTATCCCAACTTAAGGCAGACACATTGAATGAGTAAATGTCTATGGAGATTCTCAGTCATCCAGGTCATGGATATCCCAAAGGTGCTTTCTTCACGAGACAACTGGACTTTCTTGTTTTTCTTTGAAGACGTTTCGTTTCTCATTCAAGAAGCTTCTTCAACGCTGACTGGATGATGGGGAATGGCTGTCTGCAAGGAGTATAAATCCTGCCATTCCCCACCATCCAGCCAGAGCTGAAGAAGCTTCTTGAATGAGAAGTGAAACATCTTCAAAGAAAAACAAGAAAGTCCAGTTGCCTTGTAAAAAAAAGCACCTTTGGGACATTGAATGGGTAGGATTCAATTGTACTTCTGGGTACAATTCAGAATGTTAATTTAATCTGGTTTTGTATCCTGGTAGTTGCAGGAACACTTACTTCAATTATATCCTAATTGAAGTAAGTGTTCCTGCAACTACCAGGATACAAAACCAGATTAAATTAACATTCTGAATTGTACCCAGAAGTCTACCTATAGCCAATGCAGAGCCTGCAGTGCTGGGTTTACATTAGAATTGCAACTTCTTCCTGCCAACAAATAATCTGCTGTATTTTGGACAGGCTAGAGTTTTGCTTTTCAAGGTAGCTCCATTAGAGCACATTGCAGTGATCTAACCAGGAATTGACAAGGCCATTGTTGTTAGATTATATAAATTTTATGAGCCACTTAGGGTCATGCATGTGAGATGGGCAACTATATAAATTAAATAAAAATAAATAATACATAATAGTAAATTTTAAAAATTGGAAATTGCTGATCTATTAATACCTTTGATAGAATTCGTAAAAGTTGTCTTTTGACAAGGAACAATTTTCTAAAGATTGTAGGTCCTTATAAATTCCCCTTTATCCAGTAATTCAACCCATTGTTGCTGTGCATTCTTGGGGCAAATACAGTGGTAGGCAATGGAACAGGGGCCCCACGTTTAAGCCACTATCGGTGAAAAAAGGCCGAAAACGACTGCATTAGGCAATCTTCACTTCCCAACTAATACAGAATTTATCGTTTTGTCTCTGTTGAAAAAAATCACAACATAAGTCAAGGAAAAGGGCGAGACACAAGTAGAACCAATTGCCTTTACTCTTCTATCACGTGTCATAAATCTGTGCCATCCTCACACACCGTAGCAGCATGAGGGTTATCAGCAGGATCGCCGGCTCCCAGCTCAAGCTTTACGGTCTTCGTTCCGCGAGCCAAGCTGAGGAGGGTTTCCCGGCCCACCGGAACTTTTCCCGCCCCAAGTTTTATCCGCCCTAGCGAACCCAGCCGACGGCGAGGCAGAAAGGAGAGAACCGGAAGTGGCCGCAGCCTTTGCTCACCTTGATTCTCTCGTCGTCGATGTCGACGGCTCGCTCGCGGAAGTCTACCCCGATAGTCGCTTCCGTGCGCTCGGGGAAGCGCCCCGCGCAGAAGCGGTAGGTGAGGCACGTTTTCCCCACGTTGGAGTCCCCGATCACGATGATCTTGAAAATGCGGGAGCGTGCGGGCGGCCAGGATCCGGGGCCCGCGTAACTGCCCGACAGACTCAGCTCCAGCGACGCCTCCACGTCGGCCGCCATCGGATGTTGCGTCTTCCTCCGACTCCCTCTGCGAGGCCCTCAGCCTCGCCCACCAGAGCGGGAAAGCGGGCGGCCAGAGAAACTCGGCCCGTGGCTGAAAGCTTTTCTCAGCCCGACGCGATTACCGCCACCGGCATTCACACAGCCACCCAGAGGCGGGACGACGAGGGCCAGGCGGGACGAGCCGCGACGCTCCAGGCACTAGAGGCGCCCCTTTCTTCCCCCTTATAGGAAAAACGGCCACGACGAGCCTTAAGATACCGCGAGAGGGGGAGGACGTGGGGAGATTTAGCTCCTTTTCTCCCATCCGGGGCTGTAGAGCAGGGATCCCCAACCTTTCCGGCTTTGCGGGGGGGGGGAGAGAGGAAATGGTTCTGTGTGAGCAGCGGGTGGCGCGCGTGCCAGTCACTCGCATAAATAGAGCTGCGCGCAGAAGCGTGCCCGTCCGCCGTTTTCGCCGCCCTGTTCCAAACGGGCCATGGCCCAGTTCTGGGCTCCCGCCCTGGGATTCAAGACTCTTGCTTTAGAGCAGTGTTTCTCAACCTTGACCATTTTAAGGCATGTGGACTTCAACTCCCAGAATTCCACAGCCAGCATTGCTGGCTGTGGAATTCTGGGAGTTGAAGTCCACATGCCTTAAAATGGTCAAGGTTGAGAAACACTGCTTTAGAGCAATATTAGTAAGCGCCTACTGTTGAATTCGAGCAATGCCTAAATTTGGAGAAGCAAGAAATGGATGTAAGGAAATAAATTTGGAGGGAGACTTTAATAGTATTTGGGGGCTGGGATTAGGTGATCTTGCAGAGGAACTGCCTTTTTAGTAGGGAGTGCTTCATAGTGGTTACATCTAGCCTCGGATATTAGTTGTCGGCTTGTATTGCCTTAGTTTTTTTTTTGACAGATATCATCATCACAGTATTAATCCATAAACTAGTAACTGCGAAAAGTATTTAGCATGTGATATAAAGCCTATTGCACACCAACACTAGAACAGTGATGGAGCATAGAACAGTTCTGGCAGTTTGTCACCAAGGACAGCAATCAGCTCCTATAATGATTAATTAGTCCTTGCATTTTTCCTCGTTTGTTTCATTGCAGAAAGAGCAAAAACAAGACGCCTTCTTCCAATTATATGTAATTTTAACATAAAATAGTAAATCTTTAAGTAAAAACGGATTTCCTTTAAATTAAGCTTAATTCCTGGCGACTTGTTTCTTGGCAACAACATAATCCTTTGCCATTTCCTTTTGGGTTACTCCTCTGAATACCAAATTTACCATAATTCACAGGGATTTCCTGATGGTTTTTATTGGTATAGTGACCAACTTTGATCCAGCTTAAATGACCCATCCAATGGTAAGAGTGGATAGGTACTACCACCTGAATGCACAGGCAGCTTTTTCATTATTCAAATCTTAGAAGTGTAACAATCCAAAGTCTTAATCTATTCATTATGATTTGCACATAGCCACAATGACAATATTTGTATTTATCAGAGTTGTAGTGCAAGAACCTAAAACTTAGAAAAGGATTTTATATTTGAGCACCAGACCATTCCACGACTACACTTTATATACATACATTCATATCAGTCGCATATGAAAAAAGTTAACTTTAAACTAGGGTTTAATTTCTCTATGAAGGTGATTAAATATACAAGCATTATCAAGAATGGAATTTTTCTTATTTATCTGATGAGATAACCTTGAATTTAATTCTATCTCTGCTTCCCAGGAATATTAAATAATTATGATTATCTCGTTTTAAATTACTTTGGGAAATCTAATCTTCATTTCAAATAACAATATTGTAAATATTCAGTATTTCTGCAAAATGGGAGGAAACAGCATATTTTTGTAACTCTGTAGTTTCTATAGTTTTATAAAAATTGTTATGAATCCTTGGGGACCTTTTTTCTTTTTACAAAATTAAGACATTAAATTTGTTTTAAACTTACTGGAAATTTGTCTGTTCTTGATGAAATTGTAGGCTATAAAAAGCCTGGGCTATAATATACCCTTTATTGTAAGTATAAATGAAATGACAGCTTGGAAAGAGTTGCTACAGAATTTGAGATATCTGATCATTTTAAATTATCAACTATTATTGGAGGAAGAAAAAGGGTTCAAATTAACCCTCATGTAAAAACGTATCGTTTGTCAGTATGGTTTTTAGCTAAAAAATGCAGAATGCAGTGTAGTTTCATGGCTACAGGCAGTATTTGTTACTGTGCATTAACAGTAAATAACAAATGTGTATAATCAACCAATCATAATAATAAAATTACTAAGATTTTTGAACTGAGAGGCTTTACCCTTTGACTCTCATTTTGTATTAATATAGTTAATACAGTATCTTTTGGCTAATCACAGAAAAGATTTTGTCAGATATACTGGGCCCATGAAAATGAGGGAGAAATTAACCACAGGGTCCACACAATTTTCTTAGATGCACATATATCAAAAGATGAAGGTTCTAGACGATGAATGATCAGTCAATACTTATCTTTTAAATTGTTCTTATCACAGAAAGAGTAATGATATCTCTAAAGAGATGTACAACAATGAAAATCACAAAGTGTTAGCTGCTTGATTTTTCATACTTGCATTTGTTTTTAACATTTCCTACACTGTAATTTAGATTTCTGATTGCAACTTTGTTAATTCATATAAATTAGCATTATCTTTGTGGGGATATATTTCACAGAGGTATTTACTAATTTGAGCACCCATGATTGCCAAGTTGCAAATTACTGTTCACAATGGCAGTCATTATGGTTAGCTTTATTGAAGGAGAGCAAGGGGGGGGGTAGTGTCTCCAAACACTGTCGCATTATGCATTGTGGGATTTCACCAACACTAATATAAAACTTTTATGGTAGTATGTTATGTTGAACTTGCACTACATCTCCTGACAGCAGTTTTCAAATTCTATAGTCACACAACTCTTTTTCAAAACATTTTATTGCATTATATTTGGTACCTTATGTTTGACAAAGGAAATTACATCTGTAACTGCAGGGATAAGAAGCTGGTCTGTTATTGAAAAAAAATCATGGGCCCCTTAAAAGTTACAAAGTCATGGGCTTGCCTGAAATAACTGAGCAAGAAATATATTCTTAGAAATGTAGGGCTTCAAGTATTACAAACCTGTGACACTGTGGAAAAGTTTCAGAGGTATCTAAACTGCAGCACTTTTTTTTCCTGCATAACGTGAACAAGGCCTGCTGAGGTTTTAAACAATTAGTCTCTCAATCAGTCAAATTCAGAGTCAGGAGTTCGTCTCTTAAAAATTTCAATCCATAGTTGAATGAATATCATTTATATTTTCACTGTACGTGAAAACTACATGCTGTCTTTCTAATGAGTTGGTGCCACATCACAGTGCATAATTCATTTGTTCTTGCATTACAGTTTTTTTAAAAAAATTAGCCAACAATGTTGTCATTCTCATCTCCTAAACATCAATTTTTTTTTTCAAAACTGAATTAAAAAAAATATATTCTAACCAGTTCCTTCATTTAAAAACTGTGGTGCAAGAACACCAAACTGATCACGTGCAGTGAATTTCGGAGACACAACAAGCTTACTGAACACCTTATGTTTCGTTATTTTGCTTCATATTTTAAGTCCCAGTCTCTACAACAACATTAAATATGTGTTGTCGGTTTGTTTGCAAATAGTGATTCACATTGCATACTTTCAAAGGGTAGAATCTTCTCTGTATCAAAATCAGTCAGATGCTAAAGCCCCAACAACTTTTTGTGCTCAGTGAAAAGGATCCAGTGCTAAAACAGCATTTTTGCTGTCTGAGATACTTATCTCAACAAGACAAATTTAAAGTAATATTTATGCCACACACCTGCTCCAATGGGGTGTTAAGCCTTCAGATTCCATATAAATTAGTTTAAAAACCTGGGTATGTAGATAAGGGATACTTTTCAATTTTAGCAGTGCTTAGCTTTTCTTTAATTTTCTTTAATTGAGCCATCTATTTCCAGCCATACATTACTTTATATTATATACTTCGTCAGCAGGATAAAAAAAGTAAAACTTTGAAGGCAACTTTTTTTCTCCTTCCATTCTCTGTAAGTTAGAACAATTCAGCAGGTGCGTGACAAAAATATTATACACCAGATACAGTCCAAAATCATTCCACTCCTTTTAAAGTTCATATTTCATTGGCCAGTTCTTCAGTTTCTGCAGATATGTCTCCATTAACTGTGATCTTCATATCTTCTTCATATCCAGGAGGCATAAAAGCCAAAGCATATGGGAAAAGCTTATGACAATTAGCTCTGTACATTTCAACTGCTTCTTTACAGTCTCCTAGGCTACCATCATTCAATGCTTCCAATACCTCCATGCATGTCTAAAAGAAAAAAATACGTGTTTTAAAAGATCCTGCATTTCAACAATTGAGATAACTGCTAATTCTGTTAAGATGTTTGTGCATATTGTTATATGTAAGGCTTAAACATTTTGCTCCTTAGAAAATTGCTAAATGTTAGTAGTTCCATGGGCTATTTTGTTTGAAATTTGAAAAGGCTGCCTGATAGGAAGACAATATATCAAATTTACCTGAAGATTTCGGTTTGCTAGAGATTCATCAAGTGAAGTTGCCAGTTCCACAGCTCTTTTCTGGCTTGTAGAATCCAAATAGTATACCATTTTGGCAGCTAAAAGCAGAAATAAAAATACTTGTCCACAGACACATTTAGATAATTACAAATCCTGATCATATACAAGAAAAGAAGTGCTGACTGATTTTTTCTTTCACCTCTATTTATAAAGGCCTAGGTATAGATAACAATGTCCTTTTCTGGGAATAGAAGGACTTTAATTCATTGCAGCTCCCATTGTTAGAGCTGAGGCAGAATGTTTGTTCAATTACGACCTCCATGTTTTTCCAGGAGATCCTGCAACCTTCTAGAGCTTTAGAGTGTAGGTGCTGCGGTATTAAGGAAAAATGGATTAGGACTGGCTCTCCCTTTTGCCAGTAGAAATATCCAATGAACCAAACTTTAGTGAAAATACTTTGGGTTAAAACCCAATACTCAACTTTCCATATAATGCACATATCATTCTGTAGATTACAAATCAGAATATATCTGTTATATTATTCTTGGATACTGAATTCTCTCGAACAGTTTACAATAAACACATAAAAGACTATTTTTTTTCTTGGCTGTCATATATATTTTGTACTATACTATTACTATTTTTAATTGTTTTATGACTGTTCGCTGCCCAGATTTGCTTGTTTGAGTTAGGCGTCTATATAAATTGAATAAATAAATCAATAAAAAATTAAAACAAATTTATAATATTTTATTAAATGCCTAATGCATTTTATGGCCTCTTACAGCCAAAGAAGAGGGCAATATAGGTAGTCTTTCTTTAATGACCACAATTGTGACCAGAGTCTTGGTCCTGCAGCAAAGTGGTTATAATATGAGACACCCATCTCATCACTTCATTCAACAACCGCAATCCCAGCACTCCCTGTTGTGGCTGCTGAAATCCAGGTGGACATAAAATTTAAAGTCCTTCTCTCCCTGC